GCGAAGAGTCTAAACTAGATCGAATCGGAATACGAGTACCTAGCAGTGTAGTGCAATGTATTTAAAAGAGAATTGTACTTAACATATAGATCTAGCATCTAGAGAAAGAACCGAAGAAAGACATCAAAAGGAAAACAAGAAAAACAAAAATAGATGTCTTATGCAATAAACAGAGACGGCAGTATATGATATGTATGCGACATCCTGGCACAGAGAGCGTGAACATATACATGCCCTCGGTCACGTATCAACAACACACAGTACATCGACAAAACAAGTTATATTCAGCAGTACATCATCATATGTACACGCACTACAGACTAGACTCTCCGCGAGCGGTTTCATTGGAATTAACCGAGCTTTTCCCCTCGCTGCCGTGTAAATAAAAAATACGCGTCCCGGACCACCCCGGTGCCAACACGGTGCCAACACGGATGACACCGGACCATCCCGGTGCCAACACGGATCATCCCGTGCTGGTCCAGGGTGATCCGTGTCGCCACCGTGCTGGGTCCGGGATCATCCGTAGGGGCGCCGGGGTGATCCGGGGTCAATAACTCACTCCCGGACTGCCACGGATCAACACGGACCGCCCCGGTGCCACTACGGATGACCCCGGACCCAGCACGGTGGCTACACGGATCACCCCGGATCAAACTATTGTCCCGGACCACCCCCGGCAGTAGTTTTTGACCGTCAAAAACATCCGGGGTCGACTCCCGGACCGCCCAGGACCATCCAGGACCATCCAGGACCATCCAGGACCATCCAGGACCACCCCGGTGCCAACACGGTGTCAACACGGACCGAATCCCGGATCACCCCGGATGGGGTCCGGGATGGTCCGGGACGGTCCGGGACGTATATGGGACTGTAGCTTTACCTTTTAATTATTTTACTCTCTCACAACTTGAAAGCAAAGACTACGTTTTTTGTGTGTATGTATGACAGTATGAGTGTCTGTGCTTTGCGTATCAACACGTTGCTTCCTCTTTTTATTCTTCATCACGTTCTCCTTCCTCCACTTTTTTCTTTTTCTTCTTCTTCTTCTACTTCTTATTCTCCTTTTTACTCTTCCCGCATACTGCTTCAACTACAACAAAATCTATCCGAGGAAATCTGCTTGCGGAAAGTTATGAACATAAACAAAAAGTCCTTGCACGTCATTAAAGAAATGGATGCGCAACAGTGGGGCTGATGACGCAACCAATGGCCATTAGAGTCACGTAGTCTCTAAAATCCGATCGAAACAAAAGCTGCCATGATATCAAGGTTGATTCACATGATCGAAAGTCCATTAGTTCATCAATAAATCATTTTTTGGTCATGTCAACAGTATCATATGATTTTTTAAATTAAAGTTAAATATTGGCCTTGCCAATGAACAAATAAAGCGAACCAATAAACAAATTGGTTGTTTGTCAACCTAATAAATGAGGACATCCAATTAATGAATGGGGGCGTTTGTCAACCTGATTGAATAAACAAAATATTATTCTTTATTCTTTATTCTTTATTCGTTGTGCTTCGATCACCACGTTTTAGATTATGTTTGATTAGCTTATTTCAAAAGGTGTGGGGGTTATTGGGTGCATTTAATTGTGGTGGTTGTCGCGCACTATCAATGAACTGACGCAATACAAATAGTTGGTATAATTGTGTTGTTATGCCGTATATTTTATTTGTATAATGCATCAAAGACATTATACCGTTCAAAACCTATAAATAAGAGCTGCTTTTCGAACAGAGCTAAATTTCGTCATTATTCAATGCGAATCTGGTGTTCACTTCTTGTCTCGTTTTTCTGTTTCACCAGACGTTCAACAACTCAAAGCATCGTAAGTTAAATACTCTGATATCATCATAGTGAGTTTTTGATTTGATTTGATTTGGCTTGACATGACTTGACTTGAAATGCCTTGATTTGATTTGTTTTGACTTCAATTGACTTAACTTGATTTGATTTTAATATTATAAGGTATGATCTTAATTGGTCTGATCAGGGCCCGTTTTATGAAGATATACGATTGATTCGAATCGATCGCATCTTGAAAATAATCGCAACTCCTATCTTTTAAGTACACAGTTGCGATTAATTCTATATTACGATTGAGTCGAATCAATGTCTTGATAAAAACAGGGCCCTGGTCTAATTTTATCTGTTTAAACTTTTTTTTTATTTGGTCTGATCTGGTTTAATTTGATCTGATCTGATTTGATTTGATTTGATTTAATCTGTTTAATTTGATCTGATCTGATTTGATTTAATTTTGCTTTAGTGAATTTGATTTTATTTGATTTATTTGATCAGATCTGATGTTATTTTGATTTGAGGGAGTTGAGATGAGTTGATTTGAGTAGACTGAGTTGAGATGAGTGGGTTTAAAGTAGACACGATGAGACCTACATGATCATCATACACAGATTATCGATTTGATAATCAACTAAATCTTAAAAACATACATGAATGCATGAATGGATAACTGTAAAATGGATAAACGCTTGATGGAATCGTCCAACAATTGAAATAGATATTATACGTTCATCAATGTTCCTTATTCTAGAGAGTAGTTATGCCAAAATGTGGGTCAAACTGTCACAAGAAAAAGGCAGTGGTGTCATTTTGACGTTGCAAACACTTTACATGCAGCTCTTTTTGACGTGAACGGTAGCATTTCGAGGCTTGTGGGTAAAAGTACGATTTTTGTTTACATACACGGTATTCGGCTGCATGTTTTGTTTTGTAAGAATCGCATAATACATATACGCGGAACTACCGGTATGCGCAGACAAAGAAGTTGCAAAGGCGTGGGCACTCTGTACAATAGTCCCATAAAAAAAATAATACAAAAGACCATTTTGAAAAGTCGATCTTCTTGGACCTCATTTACACTACTGAAAAAACCCAAGAAAAAACGTCGAAGTTTACTTTTACCGTTTTGGTTTTTTGTTGTTGTTTGTTTTGTTGGGGGGGGGGGGGGGGGGTTGGGTGAAAAAAGTGCACATACGCGACTCGTCAGGGCCCTTCATGTATTGCATGCGCTAGCGCGAAATCGAAGAGAGTCGCGTGACGAAAAAATGGTTTCTTAACGAAATTTGCTTTTACTTTGCAAGAATTCGGAGACACTACGGCGGGGCGTTTAAAAAATCCGCAATCCAGAAATGGGTTTTTCGATTTCGATTTTTCGTCGCGTCGGCGAAACACCGGAATGTGAGAAAGAACGACGATTTTCGGTCGCAGTGTAAATGCAGCCAACAATCGTGGCGCGTAAAGTTAACAATGGGTACCCGGGTTGGGGCGCATTGCTGCTAGAATGGGAAAACAACCTTTGACCCATCAATTGAATAAATACTCTTTAAGAGACATGTTTTGTTAAAATATCTCTTTTTTGCTTGGACTAACACTTTAGATTATTATTGTTTATTTGTTCGTGACACTATGGCTCCTCGGAGATCTCGAGACTGCACTTTACTGCTCGTCATTTAGAGTTACAAGATCGCATCGGGCAATAGTTGTAACCGTGCTCCTCAAGGCAGTCAATATTTATAAACTATTATCATCATCATTATTACTACTACAGTGCCATTATTAGTAGTAATAGTAGTAGCAGTAGTAGCAGCAACGTAGTGGTACGCTGAGTTGGGCAAAGCATTGAACTAAACATGGCGCTATAGCAATATAGAGGAGTTGGGTTAAGTTGATCATTTGTATGGTTATTAGTTTGACTTTGTATACATTTAAAGTTGAACAGAATTAATTATGTCCCCGATAGTATGCCAGGTACGGGTAAACCAGGGGCGATTTTTCAGGCCCGCCCCCCCCCCAAAAAAAACGATAAAAAAATATAGGATAATAACGTAAAATTAACCTTTTTTAAAACAAAAACAAAAACGCCCCCCCCCCGCTTATTCGCCGGCCGGCTGAGTCGGCGCTAAATTTTGTATTGAGATTTGACCCCCCCCCTGTCGCCGACTTGATCCTCTTTAAGCGCGGATTCACGGGGGGGGGGGGCGGCTGACGGGTCAACAACATCCAAAAATAATACTTTAAAAAAAAAAATTATCAGGAATTAGGCCAAACAAACAAAAATAGTGATCTCCACCCACCCCCCCCCCCCCCCCCCCCCCGCTTATTCACCGGCTAGCCGAGTCGGCGTAAAATATTTCCTGAAAAATTGGACCCCAAAAAGTGCTTCCTACCCCCCCCCCCCCCCCCCCCCCGCTTATTCACCAGTGGCTGAGTCGCAACTAATATTTTCTCACGGATTGGCCCCCCCCCCCCTCTTCTCGCCGCTGGGGTAAACAACCCCTGAATTTGAAGTTCTGCATAAGATTTACAGGTGCTTGTTTCCGATAAACACTATAGACTATTTTTCCTGTTATCGAACATTCTTGCGGGGCTCTAGGCTCCTCCTACTTTCACCGGTACGCAGTCAGAACTAACCACTCTATTTTTGTGCTTTAATGTCATTTGTTATATTAAATTGAATGTATAACTTCTCTCTTGACTGGTAGATTGAACTAATCTCGAGATCGGGTGGCTTACGAATCATTCTATAATTAAATCCTATCCCGTAATCGGTTGTATTCGTAAGGGCCTCCCGATTAGCTAATAAGATCATGTGACATTGAAGTCATGTCGCCGGCGCATGAGTATTTAAGCGCCATGTGCATGACTTCGTAAACCCGTTTAGTTTGTTCTATTTTCTATTGAGGATGTGCTGCTAATTTCGTTTTATCTAGATAGGCCACCCAGCCTCTGGAGAATAGCTAATATAAAATGTCCTTAAATAATAATCTTCCTTTAAACTACTGGAGCTTCGGCTGAATTTGTAGCGACATTATAGAAAATAAAGTGGACATCAACTGTACTTCTGAGCCTGTATCGTATTCTTTTTTGTTTCTGATCTCGTAATCACCAACCCGTTACGGCCCCCATTACAGTTGTTTTTGCATATATGTTATTTACTTATTCATTTGTTCATTTTTTTTTCTCAACATGAACACTTTCAAGATGTCGATCATTCTCATCGTGTCTCTCTGTCTCTTGATGAGCATAGGCCAATCTCAAGCACGTGCACGTAGTAGTTCACACTCTATTAAATGCCCTGTGTCACACGGCTCACTTCGAACCATCGGGTCATCGCGTTCGTGTCGGCCGGTGCATGGTTGCGTTTGCTGTAGGATTTTCACAAAGTGTTAGGTAAATTGGAACAGGCGATTCGTAGAAGAGAGGTGTTTATTTCACAAACATTCCCCCGTCAATAAAATGGCATGTTTTTCACAAAAGGTCGGTAACGCGACCCCCCGACCCGACGCGATTGCCCCGATGATTCGGGAGAAGCTTGTTCACACAATGAGTGACGTTGTAAAATGTCAAAGTAGTACTATTTCACTTTTAAATGAGAATGCATAACAGCATGTTCAAAGCTGATTTGAGCTCACAGTGATTATGAGTCGGATTGGCATGTCCTCCGGGAAGGTTTGAAATCACCTGAAATTTAGATTTTATTATTCAATGACTATTCAGACCAGGTTTGATGACTACTATTTAAACCCTTTTTATTCTTATATGTGTATATATATATATATATATGCAACAAAACGTCATCACAAGGTACAATAATATTTTGTCCTTCAATCGCAACTTCTTCAAAAATCGTATCGCAGTCGGATCGTGTACTGTTGTGTGCCCTAATAAAAACACGCTACGTACAATAAAAATTATTGTTAAAATAATGTAATGTGTAAGACCATTGTTGTGCGTTCTATTCATTCGTTCAAATAAATATATATATATCACATACATATACATGTAGAGGTGTCGTGGTCGAGTCCCGATGCGGCACTAATGTCCTTTGGCAAGACATTGATCTATATTTGCCACACTCAACCCAGGTGATGTAAATGGGTACCTGGCATGAATTAATTCCTTGAAATGCTCGTGCGCTGTAATGGCAGTCGTGCAAAAGCCAGTGTAATATTCTGGAGCGCCAGGAGCATCAAGTCTGACAGAATTGAGCTCGATACAAGAACCCACTATTATTTATTATATATATATTTATAAACCAAGGCATAATTATGTGAAAAGCCTTGTAGTGTAGTAACTCGGCAATTTGTTTGTCATAATCTTTCAATACATTATGTTTGTTAGAAGAAAAAATCATCTTGCGCTTTTTAAACATGAATAAGCGAAGCCATGTATCATTCCATTTTCACATACATTACACGTGAACAGACAGAAGATCCCTGACTTATTTGTATCATTATTTCTCTATTCCTCAGGCAGGTTCGGCAAGAAGAGCATGAGAAAGATAGATGATGGTGGCATGGAAGGGTTCTGGTGAAGCGATCTGTAGGCTCAGATTCAAACTCGGCAGGTCTCGAGAAGCGATCTACAGGCTCAGACTCAGCAGATCGCGAGAAGCGAGCTGTAGGCTCAGAATCAGACTCGGCAGGTCGCGAGAAGCGATCTAGTTCAGAGGAGGCCCCAGCAGATTCCGTCAGCGCTGCCTCAGCAGAATCTGCGTAGATAGACCAAGTCTACGGACGTTTTTGTGGCGACGTCCAAACGATGATCTATGATTCAAATTCAACAGATTACAAAAAGATGTTAACAACTATTTGTTTGGTCACTTACATAATATCCATGTTCTATACTTTAAATCTGGACGGTAATTGTGCAAAACAACATAAGGAGTTGGTCTTGTATTTAATTAAGGCTGGAATGGGTCATTATGTAAGGCTTTTGTATTAAAGACGTAGTTCAGATCATACTTTCTTCCCGATTACCACTCGAGGCACACATGTGAATGTGTTAATCAGCGCTCCTAGCAGATGAAAGGTTATTTAATATGATTATTGACATAATTTTATTTATATCTAGACAGATACTCACATATATCACTAATAATTTCATTGTAAAAAATAATTTATTGTTCAAATTAAACAGTTAAAATGCGTGTATCCGAATTGGCAGTGCCTTCTTTACATGTTAATAATTGATTTTTTCTTATACAAATATTACAGTGCAGAATTTGTAATGTGTTTTTTTTAATTCCAGATAGATTTCTCTTTACATGTTATCAGGATACTACATGGTCGACTGTTTCCCCAATCAAATCATATTCGGTTCAAGTGTTATTTGTTTTTTATGTAAACACACACATTTGAAATTAATAGTGTTGCAGAATGTTTTCTGCTTTCCTCTTCTTTTCAGTCCCCTTTTTCTCATTTTTCTGTTATTGTTTACAGTCCCTTCTTCATCATCATTGATCTGTTGTTAATGTTCTCTGCACTTAAAATACAATACAAATTTGTGAATCATAATCATGATTAAATCGAAGCTCAAAACCACATGTTTCATTTCATCGGTGTATTTTATTTGAATTAATCGCTGCATTTCGACAACGGCAAAGCCTTTAAATCGCTATGACTGCGATCTGGTTTTGGAAAAATTTACAATCGCATTTGAAAATTCGAAAATCGAAAATCTAAATGACAGACGTTCTGAATAGTCATATGATTAATATATTCTACATTTCAACATAATGTTATGCTTCCTTGGAGGAGGAAAAACCTAAATCCTCGTGACTTGAGACTATTGGTGCGGCTGTCTACGATAATTATGAAGCCAATTCGACTTTTTTTTCTATAAACGCGCCAAAGCTAGGTTCTGTTTGCTATCGGGAGATAATCTTTGTTTTGATTTCTTTATCTAATATAATCGCTATTTCTTCGTAAAATCGGATCGCAGGATTATCGTGTAGTTCAATGGATTAAGTACTATTATCCATGATATATATAAATAAAACAGCAAGACAGTGCATTCAGGCGCGGATCCAGAGGGGGGGGGGGCGAGCGGGCCTTGCCCCCCCCCCCCCACCGCCAAAAAAGAGAAAGAGAGTGAAGGAAAAGAAGGAAAAGGGAAGAGGAGAAAAAGGGAAAGAAAGACGAGGAAGAAGAAAAAAGGGGAGGGGGGGGGGTGGCGAAAGGGCCATACCTCCTAGCTGTAACCTCCCCCCCCCCCCCATAAACAAAAAAAGAGAAAGGGATGAAAGTGAAAGAAAAAAGAAAAAAGAGGAAGCAGAAAGAAAAGAAGGGGGATATCAGTTGCAATCCCCCCCAAACAAGTTGTAGTTCGGGGAGGGGGCAGAACGCCCCTGAATACCCCCCTTCCCCCTCAAAAAAAAAAGGAGAAAGGAAGGCAAAGGGTAAGAGGAGAGCTAAAAGGGAACAAAAAAGAGGAAGAGGAAAAGAAAGGGTGAAAAGAAGGGAGAAAGTTGCGATTAATCCCGCCAACAACATGTGGATCGGGGGGGGGGAGCGAAAGGCCCTACCTCAAACGTGGTTTATTTCTAATTCGATACCGGTGATTTACTTGCTGAAATTACATAATTTTCCGAGATTTTCCTCAATCTTTAGTAAATTATACCTTTTTTATACGTTTGTTGAAAAATGGCAACTTCCTAAAGAAAGAAAAAAAAGAATAGTGACCTGCCTTTGTCATAAAATACTGAGGTGTCAAACTTTGCTCATCTGACCGTGATGAAAGGCATAAAAACCTTGACCTCCGGTGGCTCTGCCCCCTGGACCCCACCTAGGCCCCAAAACAAATCCATGGATGCTCATCTGACGGTAATTTAATGCTTAAAACCCGTGAGCTTCTGGGGTCTCCGCCCCCTAGACCTCCCGCCAATCAGTGTCCTGCCCTTGTCACAAATAAGGTATCAAAATATGCTCATCTAACGGTAATTTAATGCTTAAAACCCTGAGCTTCTCGGGTCTCCGCCCCCTAGACCTCACGCCAATCAGTGTCCCAGTGGCGGATCCAGGGGGGGGGGGGGGGCCCGGGGGCCCGGGCCCCCCCCCTTGAGAAAAAAATCATGTAAAATCACGTGATTTTTACCTTTTTTGGGGTTGGGGCCCCCCCCCCTGGCGCTCAAGGGGGGTGCAAATTGAAATTTTTTTGAGGATCAAAAAAAAAAAAATGTGCTCACTACCCCCCCCCCCCCCCCCCCCCCCCCCCCCCCCCCACTGAGCGAATTTTTGGCCGGCGCGTTTTTTCAAATTTTCGGGAAAAAAGGGAGCAAAAAAAAAGAAAAAAAAAAAAAAATTGTGCTCTGTACCCCCCCCCCCCCCCCCCCCCCCCACTGAGCGACTTTTTGGCCGGCGCGATTTTCAAATTTTTGGGAGCAAAAAAAAAAAAAAAGTTGGGCCCCCTCCCCTAAGAAATCCTGGATCCGCGCCTGCAGTGTCCTGCCAGAACTTGTCACAAATAAGGTATCAAAATATGCTCATCTGACGGTAATTTAATGCTTAAAACCCTGAGCTTCTCGGGTCTCCGCCCCCTAGACCTCACACCAATCAGTGTCCTGCCAGTGTCACAAATAAGGTATAAAAATATGCTCATCTGAATTTTAATGCTTAAACCCCTGAGCTTCTCGGGTCTTCGCCCCCTAGACCTCATGCCAATCAGTGTCCTGCCAGTGTCACAAATAAGGTATCAAAATATGCTCATCTGACGGTAATTTAATGCTTAAAACGCTGAGCTTCTGGGGCCCCGCCCCCTGGACCCCACACCAATTCATGTCCTGCCAGTATCACAAATAAGGTATGAAAATATGCACATCTGACCGTAATTAAATGCCTATACCCCCTGAGCTTCTGGGGGCTTCACCCCTAGACCCTAAAAAAAACAAACGTTTTTGCTCATTTCGCCACTGCCGGTGTCATATTTGGCTCGCATAATTTCAAATTTGGGCCCCCCCCCCCTAAGAAATCCTGGATCCGCGCCTGGTTCAAACCACTAGTTGCTCTCACCATTGGTCTCTCAATTATGATCTGTAGACAATATTTTTTTCTTCAATAATGAACTATCAAAAAAGCTGAATTATGTAGATGTGTGACCATAATTTGTACGTCCCTTGAAAGACCATTGCCAGTAAATGGTGAGAGCAAACAGTGGCGTGAACAGTCTGTCCTAGTTAAAGTCCATCTTAAATTCTATCTTAGTCTTTGTGAAACACTCCCCAGGTGTGACTTGATGTACATGTTAGGCAAATTTACCTGGGTGGTTTAGAAGAGATCTGTTAAATCAATTTATTGGCCAGAGAGTTATAACAACTGTGAAATATATATATATATATATATATATATATATATATATATATATATATGTATATATATTTTCATTTTAAAAGGTAAACGTGTGCTTTTTGATGTGGGCGGAGGGCCTCGCAGTAGAAAAATAAAAACACTGTCCTGTCCTGCACTCTTACTACCTGCATGAAAACACCTGTGGCTGCAAGGCAACAACGATCAACTCCTGTGATTACACTTAATATAAGTATTGGACATGTGTAACACCTTGATCAAAATCGAATTAATTGACCACAAAGCTATGAAGAGTGTGAGATTATTTACAAGTACGTTTAAGGAAAAGGTGGGTGGAGAATTGAAACAATTGCAAAAAGGAAAATAAAGACTCATTGCAAGAGGCAAAATGATTATAATAAATTTGTTTATCATATTTAATAATGTACTGTAAACAATAAACATGTTATGATAATGGTAAATGTCAACATGATTAAATGTAATGGCTTAAGCAGTGGCGTAACCAGAAGTTAATAAAGGGGGGGGGGGGGGGGGAGCAGCGTGTACAAGGGCTGCTTACATGTAGACTGATTGCGCACTTTTATTTATTATTATTGTTGTGAGGGGGGGGGGGGGGGGCTTCACTACATCAGTCACATGAGGTTACTAACCAGTAGAGAAATAGATACCGGTAGATAAAAAAAAGTTGGTAAACAATAGAGAAGTACATAGATAAAAGGCACATGCATGTTTGTGAGATTCTTTTTAACCTTCAGCGACCCGACTGTCTAATATCGACTGTTTGGAGCCAGAAGGGCATTAACTCATAACTTTACACACAAAGTTAACGCCCTTCTGGCTTCAAAATAACAGATAGTATATCTCACAGAAACTTCTTATAATTTTACTTTCTAACAATTTCGACCTGTTTGAAAGGAAAATGCATATAATGTCAAACAGTGACTTCTGCTTCATCTTCTTGATTATCCTTGTATCTGCATAATGATATACAATGATTTGTAGCGATTGACAAGTCACACAAAGCCCAAGGAGACACGAGGAAGAAAACAACTTTTTTTTTAAACTGCAGCTGAAAAACAAAGTTAGATAACCATAGCATGCTTTACGTATGTTATAGCAAACAAACCAAGGAGTGTGGTTATGGGTGAATAGTAGACATTTTATGCCAAATTTATCTCACTTTACCTTGAAAATATGGCCTCTCGTTATTAATTTAAATGCTGAGTTTTCCTGCCGTATTTGTTTAAAGTGTACAAATCATCTCAAAAATTAATTTGTGTACAGCTAGAAAGTATAAAATCAACCAGCCCCCCCCCCCTCTAAAAAAATGAATAAGGAATATGAAGGAAATCAAGGATAACATGAAACACCTCATATAGGGCTTGCACAGTAACCAAGTTGTACTTGGGTTTTATGTGGGCCCTACTCTATGTGAGTATGATTGCATGCGTTACCCCATCTACTCTGCAACTGTTCACCAACAACGTATTTAAACTGCAATATGTCTTTGTAGAAGTAATATTTCAAAATGAATTAAACATTTTTAATACAGTAAAGTAACATGGAATCCCTTACATCAAGAGCCAAACGTGTTTTGATGATCGGTACACTTTACACTGATGGCTGATTTCTTCTAACAGAAAAAGATGATTTACAACATCATGTCTCAACAGGGTTTTATATGAAATACAGAGTGATCTCATTCATCTTTCAAATTAAGATATAGCGGGTACACAAAAGTTTTTATTTTTTATTAAAACCTTTTCACTCCATTGCATGAAAATTGGACAAAGAAATCAAAAACAGCCTGTATTCAACAACTTGGTTATGTGATTAAAAAAAAAACCTTCTCTGCTTATTACATAACTTTACAAAGACATACAATTTGCAGCCATTTATCCTTTGGATATGTTTTAAGCAACAAAGACTCGTAGAGATGAGGAATTAAAAAAAAAAATGAAATGCATTAAATGAATAATGGGTTGAGTAATGGACATATTTAACTGGCTGTCATGAACTAAACTCAAAGAATGATCAGACAAAGTTTGATAATAGATCTTGCCAAGAAAGTACACAAGCTTTGAAAAAGAGTGTAAACATCTGTGACAGAAGCAAGCTTATTTCATCACGGATTTAGTTTCACTTGGAGAGGATTTGACCCTGCCATCTTAATTTCATATACCTGGGAGATGTAAGATGCAATAATAATTGGGCTTAAGACTTAAACACACATAATCCAAGTATTATCAGCAAATGAATTGCATCATTCTTCTACGTCCAGACTCTTGCATTACAATGTACTGAAGACATAACATTGGTAGAAGTCCATAAGCAAGATGGTTCTATTGTACAGTGAAACCTGCTTTGGATACCACCCGTACAATATGACCACCTGTCTTTAAAGACCACTTTTTTTGGTTCCCCTTGAATGTGTTTCTCGATGAAACCTGTACTACCGGAACCTGTACATAAAGACCACCTTCCTGTAAAGATCATGTTTATTGCCTCCCTCGAGCAGTCTTCATACACAGGTTTCACTTCATCACCATTCTGGTGAGAAGAACGTGCGCATCCAATTTTGAGATGATTCCACTGACAAGAAAATCAACAGGTGGCTGACGTTGGAGTGAAAAGTTCCTCTGTATTCTTGTTGATTGCTTGGGTTCCTTCAGAGCCGTTCATACCAGGTTCAATGATTTGCTATCCATAGGTTTCTTATGCCTGGTTAATAACTCGAGCCATTCTCGCTACTTGCTTGGGATCCTTCATAGCCATTCATATCAGGTTCAATGATTCGCTATTCATAGGTCTCTTATGTCTGGTTTATTTCTTGACACATATCTGAACTGGGCCCTGTCTTATAAAGAATTGTGATTGATCCAAATCAGTCGCAAGTCCTCCAATCAATTGCGAGTTTACAGTCTCCTATCTGGTGTGTACATAGTCGCAATCGATATCAATCGCAAATAAGTTGCGATCAATATCAAATCTTTATAAGACATGGCCCTGATCTTCTTCAAGAATAGAAGTCTGTGATGCCAACACTAATTGTAAGCGTTCATCAGTCTTCATCGTCCAGATCAATGTCAAGTTCCAAATCCAAATCTTGAAAGAGAGACTCATCGACTTCAACTCGGTCACCTAAAGAAGAGATGAATACAACATTTCATAAAATGTCAATGAGCCACTTCATAGCTGCAGTCTGAGCATGAGCAGTTTAAGGTCATTGCAGATCAAATTGTGAAATACACGGAGACAAAATACTGGATACATGCTCATTAAAGTTTAATAATAATAATAATTATCTTTTAAGTCCACTCCAAATTTTATTAAGTTAAACTGAAAATTGAAATTCAATTTTGCCCAATTGATCGTGAGCCCGGCAGCCACTGAGCAGCGCCAGATCGTTGTTGCTCTATCCCTTATTGTTGAACGCCAAACAAGGTAGCAGCAACTCCCGTCTCTTAACGTATTTTTGTATGACGCGGCCGGGGTTTGAACCCACGACCTCCCGGTTGTCAGGCGAACGCTCTACTGAGTGAGCCAACACACCGGTAATCATTTGTAATTGTTATTCATTTATGCACAAGCAGTGCACTCCATGATAAACAGGTGGAAGTATTCTTTGAAAAGGGAAAACAAAGGCTATTTATGTAGCACCTCCATCGCTATAGGAGTGATTATTGCAAACGTACAAAGTGGGACCTCTTCATGTTTTGAAGATCTGTAGATATTCGGGGTCATTTGGGACATGTGCTAACCGTGAACTGGTCTATTCTTGTCTTCCTAAATTTGTTGTTTGATTTGATCAGACATGATTTATTCAATGAAAAACAATCTTCGCAGTTGCAATCACATCTAATTTATAACTACATCCTTGATTCATAACTGCATTCTTACAGACCAGGGGGTGTTTCACAAAGATCCTAAGTCGAACTTAGTTCTAAGTTAGACTTAACAATTATGGAGAGCCATTTGTAGCCTTAAAATATGTATATTCAAAAGCGAAAATTTAAGTATTTTTGACTTTTTATAAATTCCACATCAAGAAGTGAAATCTCCTTGATAACAGAAAACAGGAAGGATTTGAATCAACATTTTATGCGTTTCAAATAACTTTTACAAAATATTTTTATAGATGCTAACGGCTTTCCATTATTGTTAAGTCCAACTTAGAGATAAGTTCAATTTGGGACCTTTGTGAAACACCCCCCTGAATAAATAAGCACCACTGTTCTTCTCAAAAGGATACTAATCCCCTAAAAATAATTATTTGTGTACAGCTAGAATTTATATAATCAACCCAAAAAAACTTGATTTAGCATTCTTTTGGTTAACGATTATTGGAGTATGAAGAACATCAAGGAACACAAACAGTACCACACAGGTCATATTCTACCGGAGCACTACAGCATACCTGCCAACATTTGAAAATAAGAATTAGGAATTTTTATCACGGTATGCCTTCGTAAAATAAGAAATTGCATTTGCAGCTTCAGTGTAACTGGCAATACGCTGTCAATCTGTACCAAAAAGCGAATACAAATTCGCTGCTCGATCATGAAACCATTCAACGCATGCAATACCTGAACTCTCAATTCGTGGCACATGATAAAACAAGCTTAATTTGGCTTTAGGGAAGAAAAAAAGAAGAAAAAAAGAAGAAAAACAAAATTTGAATTTTTCTAAAATCAGAATATTCTGGATTATTGGGAAGGGTAGGTGGGTATGAATAATGATGTACTCACCTTCATCCAAAAGATCCATATCTGATGTGTCCAAGGCTGCATTCTGGAAGAAAAGCTCTTTTCCTGGTGGATGAACACAATAATACAGTAGATTAACTCTTGTTTTCACTGAATGTGCATTGGCGAGTATTGTATTTAAAAGCAATGTTGACATACAAAAGCAGATATTAAGTTTCATTAGAGCAAATACACAAATTTCCCACAATGCACCTGTACTTTGACAATCTCTATTAGCATATTGAATCATCAAAAAAAGGTGTTTTGTTTTCCTGATACACTGTGCACCTATTTTTTTACACAAATTCATTTAATGTTGAATGTTAATAAATACCTCAATTTAATCGTAGGCCTTAAAAGAAATAATGACTTGTTTAATAAGAAAGACCATATAATAAAATACTGGTGATCTATTGTGGTGACTACATGAAACTAGGAAAGCTTACAAAAATGAAGCGAACGAAAAAAAAGAAAGCAAAAATTGTTAGTGAGATCATTGAATTGTAGCTAATATCTATCGAGTAGCATTTACTAGCTAAATATCCTGATGATATGGCTTTATTGCTATGCAATGAAACTATAAATGTCAGTAATTAGCCAGTTTGCATTCCAGACACATATTACATACTCCTTCATGTTTCAATTCATTAATGTTTCCAACAAAACATTACAAATCAATTATAAACATTTACAATAATTTAGGAGTACATATTGGAAACAGAGGGGTCCACTAAAAAGCAATGCTTGTACAATTGTGGACCCCTCAAGTGATACTTAGGAATAATGAGTAATTAAATCAACAAGTTTGTAACTACAAAAGGAACTACAAAATAGGGATAAAAGGGGATGCCTACAGAGAAGAGAATGTGCCAAGACAGTACTGTACATGACAAAAATAGAACACAGTTACAACACAAGGAGTAGACAATACCCTCCCCCCCCCCCCCCCCCCAAGAAGGTGAGAGATTGGGGGTACAGAAAATAATACAAAAAATGAGCTGGGGATGTTGCTAAGTTATGCAATGGGTCTCTTTTTATTTTGTCAATTATTAAAGCAATAGTCCTACCTGTAAGTTTTCCTGATGTGTTTTCTGATGCCAACTGTCGTTTACCTCGGAGTCCCTTCTGTTCCTTATCAAACATGTCTTTCCATTCCAGAAAGCTCTCTATTGTGACAAGGGTTCCTTTTAATTTATTTGCCTGTCAAGAAATGAAGACAAATGGAATGTGATACGTTACGTGGCTAAGAGCAATCACTTTTAAATCTCATTCTTCACTTTCGTGTACAAATAATAATAATTAATAGCTTCAAGTTGTTTGACAGCACATAACACATTAAGGTTCATCGTCCCCATTTCCGAGGCACCTCCAAAGATCTTTGGAAACTACCATCCCAGCTTTAGTTCTGCACACTACTCAAACACAATACATTGATTTAAAAGCAAACCTGACATAATTTACGGTAATCATAAAAATGTGCTCCCCAACATTGGCTCATTGTGTAGCCCTTCCAAATTATCACCCCCCCCCCCCCCAACTGGCACTTGAAAATGTGATAACCTCCAGGATCTGCCCCTGACACGGTCATTAGTCTTCTGCTTTGCATTTTACGTTGCTCTCAACGATTGAGTTACCGTGGTGACACGCGATGATGTGAAACTGCAACTTACCGCCTCCTCCTCGACTCTCTTCTTCTCTTCTTCTATCCTGTTCTTCCTATCTTCCTTGGCAGCCTTGATGTCATCTATTCTCTCATTCAGGAATTCCTGTGATGCTGATACAATGGCAAAGATCATGGCCATACCCAGGTTCTCTTCAATCTATAGAGAAAAAGAGGAGGAGGAGGAGGAGGAGGAGGAGGAGGAGGAGGAGAAGGAAAAGAAGAAAAGGAGGAGGAGGAGGAGGAGAAGAAAGAAGAAGTAAGAAGAAGAAGACGAATGAGGATAATGTTGATGATGGCAATCATTTTGTTGATGATGAAGATGATGATGATACAAAAAGGGAAAAAAAGAAAAAGACTTAACCCTTGGACATACACTGTATGATCCACAGCACAGTGTCTTTCAACTAGATCACAACACCTAAAACATTTTTTTTTTCATGTGATATCATTATTCTTCTAAAGCCTTTACACCATTACACATAATGTATTGTTTATTTACTCTGTGCTGGCATATTCAATAGATGCCATCATACATTTCTTCACTTGGCTTACAAATCATTTGACTGATATGAAGTTCAGTTCTTGGAGATGGATGTACTTGTGTAAATTATTTGGCAAGATAGAAAAAAGAATTCTGACACACGAGAAATGAAGACTGATGGGATGTATGAAAAATACATTGTAAGTGAATTTCAAGTACCAAACTCAAATTGTATTCAGAGCAACTCCAAGCAATTTTTGTCTTATATTTGTATACTGACCATATCAGCACAACATCATCATATAACTTAGCTCTACCACAGCTTAGATCAGACCGAATATGAAGTGAAATTTAAAGAGAAGGTTGAGTTCTGGGAAGAGGGGAAGAATCATTTGTGAGCTTTACTATTGTATTATGCAAGTGTGGAAGAACATCGGATAAAACATGTTCCCTAAAAAGCATGGCTCTTTAAATGCCTTAATATTCTAAATATGGCACGTAACATCCTAAAAATCGATACAGATTTTTATGCCACATGTTCGTGTAGTCCCATATACATCTTTCTGTGTACAGTGCTTGTTACTTTACCGAGACTGGGCCAAATTTAGTATAATTTTGATGACTCCAGAACTATGCAGTACACACCAATACTTATATACTAGATGAGCAACCTTTTCTGATCGATTCCACATTTCTTCTACGATGCAATTGCATGACCAGAACTCAACTCCATCTTAAATGTATATTCGTGACTCCACAAAAATTGGTAACAAATTGGACAACTAGGAAGAAAATATCTTGGACATGCCCTTCAACAGGTCACTTTAGGAGATGAATGTTTTACCTGGGCCAGAACTAGGTCTCTAATCTCCTGCTCAAAGTCTTGGGCCAGGTCATCATCATCGAATATGACCTCAAAGATTGGTGCTTCCTCAGGGTAGGTCGGTGTGTAGGTGAATTTAAGAGTGACTGACAGCTGACCTGTGGTCAAATGAAAATATATGGAAACATTGGAATGATTTAGCATTGAAAGGCTTGAGAAGAGCTCAGGAAACATCAAAGAGAGCTCTGCTTGAAAATAATCACTCGGGTACAAACTAGGGCTGCGACGAGTAGTCAAATGCTCGAGTACCCGCACTGTCGACAACTACTCGAGTACGATTTCTCGTACTCTAATATTCGGACGCCAAAAAAAAAAAAAAAAAAAAAAATCCCGGTCACCTGGCACTGTCCAGGCCTACGCTTGAACGTGCCAGGGAGAGCGGCGGCCGCTGGCATGGTACCGTCGGTAAAAATGTTTCCCAACTCAATCACTGTCAAACTCACCACTCAGAACTGGGACCAAATGTCCGTATTTCTGTTTGGACTCGGAGGAAAATGGATTATTCTGCCATCTTTGGTTTTTAAAACAGCATTGTTTACTGTTATAATTATTATTAAATCAGCGCCTTCAACTGCAACTTGAAGTCAAATTGCACAAGTTTTGGGGACGGACCTGGGATACTGCTCCTGTGGTATGGTGGTGGCAAAAAAAAATCAAAAAATCAAAAAATTCAAAAAATGTATTAAAAAAAACATGGCGTCCGAATATTCAAGTATTCGCTTGTAAGCCTGGGAGTGTACTCGGGTACCTCATTACACTGTTGTGCACAGCCTTAGTACAAACAAATCATCATATCACACATTATGACCACATTGGAAATAGGAAAGTCATATGGGGTATTGCAAGAAAGTTGCAATCAACTGCACATCCCCCAAATCAAGCGTAAGTCTGGCGATTATTTGCAAATTTGCAATTGATTGCAACTCAACTTTCTTGCAATGCCCCATTAGTAAGAGAGAGAGGCAGAGAATAAAAGCTAGATCTAGTTAACTTAATTTAATTGTTACAACTTTAATCCCGACAAAATTCTAGGAAATTTAGGATACTAGTGGTGCGTTGCAAGAAAGTTGAGTTGCAATCAATTGCAAATATGAATTTCAACTTTCTTGCAATGCCCCACTAGTGTCATTAATTAGTAATCATAGCTTTCATTCTTTGGATATTATCTCTATACATATAACTGATTAACCTTAATATGTAAAGGGCTATTAAAAACCCCTTTAATCTCAGTTTGTATAAAGTGCTTTTACATGTACCTTTTTCTTCTTCTTCATCTTCTCCCTCCTCCTCCTCTGCCGCAACTGTCAGCTGGAAAACATGGCAAGGCTCTGTCGTCAGTACTAAGAAATAAGAAAAAACAGAAATGAAAGAATCCTTGTAATTAATATTATCCAGACAAAGCCCACAGATCAAAATCATCCCAAAAGGTAAATATATTCAATCCTACATGTACTTGATGTACATGTACATAAATTGTGTGGGTAGTCTTAGAATTATTTCACAGTGCAGCAGAGATTTTACTTTTACATGTTGTCACACAACCACAAAAAGCCGCAATTCACAATGTTTTAAGCTGGCAAAAAGATGTTTCATGTTTTTTGAGAATTTTCTGAATGATTTTCAAACTCAAATAGCTAGAATGAAGTTTTCAGAGAAATTGTTTTTTGCACAAATTGAAAAATCATATTTTGTATTAATTCTTGAACTTTCGATCGTAAATGCCAGTCATTCACGGTAATAGTATGATTTTGGAGCATTGCATTCAAAACGAAACATGACGCGTCAACAGAGGAAAATCAGCGGCATTTTCAGTTTTTGGAAAGTAAAGAATTGATTTCTTCCAGTCATTCACGGTAATAGTATGATTTTGGAGCATTGCATTCAAAAGTACGTATTTTGACAACAATTTTTATTTTTCTCACATTTTTTTGTACACCTGTAAATCTACCACTCAAGCAAAGCATAGAGAGTCAATGCTAATGCGTATTGACCTCTAGCACTGCACTACATGTTAATAGGCAGCATATGCACACATGAATAGTCAATACACTCATTACACACAAATGCACACAATCATGCCGATGTGGCTGATCCGCAAGTATGACAGTAGACTTACAATTTGAATTTTTAATTTATTACTTCTAACATCTGTAAGTTAAAAAAATTGTCTTTTGCTGCTATTTAGGTGTCATCAATTGGGCGCTTGTTCAGAAACCTATCCTACATTTGACCTGTAACTCTGGTGTGGATATACCCCCCTAAAACATACCCAAAATGAAGTATGATCTGTGTGTGTGTGAGAGTATTCAGAGTTTAGTAACCTGTGCCGCGCCTACGTACGTAGCCTAGGGTAGCGCTCGGTATCGCTAATATTTTGAATTCTTATCTCTTTTATTTGGCAATCTACCCATCAAAAGAAAAAAAATTATTCCTCTAACAGGATTTTATAGTCATTTAAAATATAGAATGATGATAGGCAAAATATTTTCGAAAGAAGACGGAGCATTTTTCGGTGCTTGTTCAGAAACCTATCCAAAATTTGACCCGTAACTCCGGCGAGGAGATACCCAAAATAAATGACTTACCTAACTCCACAAACTTTTTCAATTTCAGATTATTTGCTGATGACTCAAATCTTTTTCATACTTTTAATCCTAGACAAAAAGAAATTGATTTAGAAATTGTAAGTGAAAATTTAATGAAGGTGCAGGAATGGTGTAATGCAAATGAAGTCACAATTGACCTACAGAAAACAAACTATATGATTATGAAATCCAAAGGTAGATCAATAGACAAAAAGGGATCTGTGAGAATATCAAGATCAGATATTAAAGAGGTATCTGTTGCATCATTTGTAGGAATTGAAATTGATTGTCACCTTTCATGGAAAGAACATATTCAGACAATAAACAAATGCATAAGAAAGAAAGTAGGTATTCTGTTTAAACTGAGACATTTTACACTTACAAAAGTAATCTAAATTGTATATATTTAAGTCAAAAAATGGCAATGAGAGCAATTACATTCAGTCCACTTAGAACAGACTCCAAAGCTCTTTTTCAAAGTCTAAACATTTTAAATATTTTTCAACTTCATGAACTTCTTGTATCAACATTTATGTATGATTTGGTAAAAGGTTTTTTACCACACTCTTTAGTGGATTATTGCCAGATGATACAGCACAGATATGCAACTAGGAGAAAAGAAAGAGGCTTACTTTATCAACCAAAATGTAAGACAACGCAAGGGCAATTTTGTATTTCGTTTGTAGGAACAAAGCTGTGGAATGATCTGCCAGATGAAATTAGATTAAAGACATCAAGGTTATCTTTTCGGAGACATCTTTCCACCTACCTTCTATGTAAATGACGTGGGCTCAATCCCACCCCCTTCGTTTTTTCCTTTAATATTACTTGTCTTCCTTTTATATAAGTATACACTTCCTTGTTAACGATTATAGCAACCTTAAGCTTTTACAGGATTTGTGCATGTACGAACATGTGTATGATTATTTTTATTAATACATCCTTTTCATTTTTATGAACACATTGATGATTTTATTTCTTCAAAGATTTGTCTTCTTTCATTATAATGCTTTAATGCTTAAGCTTTTTTATTTTTATTTTTTCATTTTAGTAAAGAAAAAAAGTTACATGATATTGTATTATTTTGTTGTATATATGTAAATTCAAAACAAACAAGTTTTACATTCATATGTAAAAACAAATTAACAGAAAAAAAAATCTTGCCAAAGAATGGAACTAGGCTCGACTAGCACTTGTGCTAACTTCTAGTTCCCATTAACAACTTCACCTAAACATAGTAATATACATATTTACGAATATATCTTTTGTACATTTAATATATAATTGAAAAAATTATACGTGCTCACAGAATTGGGCGTAATGATCATAATATGAAAATGTACGTACCATTTGCAAAAACAGATTATTTCAAAAACTCTTTTTATATAAGAACTGCCAATGAGTGGAACATGCTCCCAAGTAATGTTATTAATAGTCCATCTCTTTCAACTTTCAAAATATCATTAAAAAGTTGCTTACATATTTAACTTTTTAAACTCCGCAATAACAATTTGTTTTTACATTTTTATACAATTACATCCAAATTCGCGCAATATCAACTATATTTTAATTTTTACCTTAGATCATGCTGCAAAATTTTTTATATAGCATTTTGATCCCTGAAATACCCAATCATTTGTATATTCAATAATGCTGTTTTGCAATCAATAATATTTTATGTATTTATTTTCGCTCTAAACTACATTGTGTATATAATTATTTGATGTATTATCGTGTTTGATATCATTTTTTTGTTGTAACTATGTTATGCAATAATAATATTTGTGAACTTTGCTTTTTATCAGGGATGCAGACTTGTACGGGTTTTTCAAACCCTTTTCTGCATCCCTAGACATGCTTGTCTGAATAAATACAATACAATACAATACAATACAATAGTATGCAGATGTATGTCTAAAAAATATCGTTTTAAAACCATTACTGTTCAATCGACATTACTCTTATGTTATGTATACATGTATCAGTATTATTCTTTGCATTGTGTGATTGTTTATGTACTGTCATTATTGTGATGTGTTGTTGTTAATAAATTCAAATTCAAATTCAAGTAAATATTCATCAGATGTTTAAATAAAGATCGTGAGTTAAAAGTTGTGATGTTTATTACCTGTTTCGTGTCAATTTTCTGGTTATTTTTGGAGTATTTTTCGGAAAAACATTGATATTAAAATTAAATTTAAAATACACTTCTCTTCTTCTTCAAGATAATCTGCCTCTTTCAATACTGAAGATTCTTGCAGATGCCGTATACTCGGCCTGATTGGGGTGTGCAGGTGGACCATTACACCAGGGTTTTCCCCTACTCTTATACGAATAGTGCAATGGGTTCTTAACGTGCAAGGGTGGTGACTCTCCTGTACACGGGGCCTCCATTTAACGTCCTATTCTTTTAACGTCCTATCCTTTTTCACAGGTTTCACGGCAAACTGCTGCACAATGCAAGTGCATACCGATGGTGGTGTAGTGATTCAGCCTGAGCCACTACGGCTCTGGCGGCATATGCGCGTAAGTCCCGCATTAGGCGACACCCGCGGTAGTTTCCGCGGGCGTGCTTATCACTGGGAACGTTAGATTGGAACTGGAACTGCAACCGCGCTACATGCCGTCTGCTGTGTTCCCCTGATCTCGAGTCTACGTAGCTTCGTGGAGCTCCACCGTCGAGTCTTCGAGATTCTACAGTGCTGCAAGCAATGGTAGGATTTACCCTTACTTGAGCTTCTGATTAGTTATCAGTATCGTAGTTGTCTAGTTAATCCTAAGAAGTATTCCGTAGTTAAATAGTAGGCCCTGCTGTCTTATATTCCGCTCCGTCACTACACTGGGTTGCAGGCGGGCGCGCGCCTGTGTGAAGTTATCTACCATAATGAAGATCTGAGACTAGACCGAGAGTCGAGACATTACTGTAGATAACTTCACACAGGCGCACGCCCGCCCGCAACCCACCATCGGTACGCACTTGCATTGTGCAGCGGTTTGCCGTGAAAACTGTGAAAAAGTGTATTTTAAATTTAATTTTAATATCAATGTTTTTCCGAAAAATACTCCAAAAATAACCAGAAAATTGACACGAAACAGGTAATAACATAATGACTTTTAACTCATGATCTTTATTTAAACATCTGATGAATATTTACTTCATTTTGGGTCAACTTTTGGATAGGTTTCAGAACAAGCGCCGAAAAATGCTCCGTCTTCTTTCAAAAATATTTTGCTTATCATCATTCTAGACCTAGATCTATATTTTAAGTGACTATAAAATCCTGTTAGTGATATAATTTTTATTTTTATTTTGATGGGTAGATTGCCAAATAAAAGAGATAAGAATTCAAAACATTAGCGATACCGGGGGCGCTACCCTATGCTACGTACGTAGCCTAAGCGCGGCGCAGGTTACTAAACTCTGAATTCTCCCACACACACACAGATTATAACACATGGGGCTGTAATGATAAAAAACTCCTAAATTGTGCCAAACTCACCCGATAATTCATCTGGATAGATTGACTCTAGGGCTTCAATTTCATTGACCTGCTCCTCCTTATAGTCAGTCATTTGTATTTTTGGTCATTCAACCCACTATAAATTTGATTCAGACCGTAAATTACAGAATAAATCTATTTAATCGAGGAGACATGTGTACAAAATCTGGACTTTGAATTCCTATGGTGTCGTCAATAAATCAAATCTAACTTAAACCAGAGAGTTGAAATCTTTGATTTTATTTTATTTTATTTTATTTTTTTTTAAATTTATTTATTTCCACTTGCATAAAAAAACATTTCATTCAGTAACAGAAGTAAAAAGTTCCTCGTAAACTAGCATAAATACATTAACAATGAAACAGTTATAAAGACTTTAACAAATGTGGAAAAAAGAGGTGGTCTGTTAAAAAAGCACAGCTTGTTAAAACACAGATCACCTTTACAGAAACAACGTTTTTTTTTTTTTAAAGAAGTAGGTTATATTACAGGGGGAGGGGGACTAATACTAATCTAGTTACCTATACAGACTATAAATAAATATCAGATCTACCACTAATTTACAAAATATGGTAGACTAAAAAAGAAAACAGAATAAAGATAATGGAAAAGTAAAGAAATAGGGGAAGGAGGATAATGTACAACACGGGGGGGGGGGGGGGGACAATGCTAATCCAGTTACCTATATTTAATACTAATAAAAATCAGATCTATTCACTGTAGGTGTACAGTAGATGCAATTTCAGCTTACGTTTGAAGACAGAAGAGCTTACAGACTGCCTAATAGAACAGTCTAAAGAGTTCCAATACTTTGGTCCAGTATGTGCAAGTGTATTAATCCTAAGCTGAGTTCTAGCTGATGATACATGGTATAAGGCAGCCTGCCTAGTAGAGTATTTGTGTATTTGGTTATTCTTTACAAAAATAGATGCTATTGACATGGGAGCTTCACCCTTCTCCAACTGATACATAAGATATCCCAGATAAAGAAAATATATATCTTTTACCTTCAGCATTTTATTTTCGTAAAATAGCTTGTCAGTGTGAGCACGCCAATCAGCTGCCGAAATAATTCTCACTGCTCTCTTTTGAATGAGCAGAATTTTATTTAAGTAGGATTTGGCTGAGGCACCCCATGCTAGCACACCATAATTTAAGTATGGCAAAATTAAGGAACAGTACAACATGCTAAGTACTTTTCTTGGGAATACAAACTTCAATTTGTTGATCATACCAACATTTCTAGAGAGCACTTTACTTAAATGAGTAGTATGCATCTTCCAAGTCAATTTATCATCAATGTGGAGACCTAAAAATTTAATAAATGAGACCTTTTCAATATTTACCTGATCAAAGACTACATTACCAGGCATTACTGTTTCATTATTACTGGATAACATATGTTTAGTTTTTAATAAGTTTAGTGACAGTTTATTTGCATGAATCCATTTAGTCAATACACAAAGCTCTCTATTTACAGTTTCTAAAAGAGTATTTAAGTTTTTATGAGAACAGAATGCACTTGTATCGTCTGCAAATAGCAAAAAAGAAAACGTCTCTGAGGATTTTGGAAAATCATTTACATATAAAATAAAAAGCAGGGGACCCAAAAGGGAACCTTGAGGTACTCCACACGTGACGGGTAACATATCTGAACAAATTTCGCCGAGCTGCACAAATTGCTGTCTGTTACTAAGATAACTTCTAAACCATTCGAGTGCAGGTCCTCTTACCCCATAATAAGAGAGCTTGTGCAACAAAATATTATGGTTCACCGTATCAAAAGCTTTGGAATAATCCAAAAATATACCAACCGTATGGAGGTGTTTATCAAGTGCCGAAGATATTTTGTCTAAAAGACATAAAACAGCATGAGAAGTTGTGTGTTTCTCGCGAAAACCAAACTGAGAATTGGAGAAAACTTGACACGACTTCAAAAACTTTATCAATCTAATATATACAAGCTTTTCCAAAATCTTGGAGATGACAGTAAGTAGAGAAATTGGTCTATAGTTACCAGTTTCTACAGGGTTCCCTTTTTTATATATAGGCACAACTTTAGCTATTTTCATTTTTTTAGGAACAATTCCATGCATTAAAGACAAGTTATAAATGTGAGTGAGAGGTACGACTACAAATGAAATTACTTCTTTTATCAAATCATTAGTTATACCATCGTATCCAGGGCTCTTCTTCCTTTTCAAGTCACTTACAACATCTATAACCTCAGAATTCACTACAGGAACAAAAAATAAAGACTTTTCATTTGGACTGGTTAAATAATTTCCATAGGTTTCCTGTATATCAGGTATGGAGCTAGACAGAGTAGCACCAATGTTAGAAAAATATTCATTAAATGCTTCACACATAAGTTTCTTGTCTTCAATAAGACCATCCTTCCAGGTGAGTTTTGTAATACTCTGTAGTTTAGGATTGGTTTTCAAGACATTTCGAATAACTTTCCATGTTCCTTTAACATTATTACACGTAGACTGGAATTGAAATTGATAATAGTCTTTCTTTGCTTGGCGCAGAGCAGAAGTCAATATATTTCTATAGTTAGTATACTTAAGCTTGGCTACACCAGTCTGCTTTGCTTTGTATCTACAAAACAAACGATTCTTTTTATTTATTGACCTGAGTAAAGACTTAGTGACCCATGGCATTCGAGGTACTCTTTTATATTATTGCTTACTTCTTTGCACCAAGGGAAAGCATCTGTCATAAGATAACACCATTATATCCATGAATTTATCAAAAGACTTATCAACTTCTGTTTCACATAAAACTTTGTTCCATTCAACAGTTTCCAATTCTCTCTTAAATTTTGCTCTATTTCCCTGAGTGAATTTCCGTGTTAACTTATCACAGGATTCAGTACAAGAACTCCTTAATGCTAAATATGTTCTAGCAAATATAGGGAAATGATCCGATATATCGGCCACTATTATACCAGCAGTGGGAATAAGGTGCAAATTGGTGAAAATGTTGTCAATTAAGGTTTGTGAGTTATCTGCTACTCTAGTTGGCTTATTAATCAGAGGAATCAAAGAGAATGTACTTAAAGTATCAACAAAATTATTAACAGAGTTATCGTGATCATAACTTAATAAATTTATATTAAAATCACCCATAATAATTATTTTTTTATTTCTGGATAATGGGCTTGAAAGAGTGTTAGACAATTCTTCAATAAATTCATTCACATCACCATTTGGTGGCCTATAGACTACTCCCACTAACCAGTTTTTTTCTCCAGGAATTATAATCTCAACAAATAGAGATTCTAGTGAATCATTCATAATGTACAATTCTGTTTTTGTATGACACTCAAATGAAATGGGAATATACATTGCTACACCACCACCGGATCTGCTTTGTCGATCATTAGTGATTAGTTGATACCTAGGAAGATCGTACATGGCAGTTGGATGACTAGAAAACCAAGTTTCAGTGATTCCAATTATTGGGTACTTATCCTGAAAAGTGTCCAAAAACAAGGAAAGCCTGTCAAAATTTGCATTCATGCTACGCACATTAAAGTGCAAAAAGGACGTTTCATTGACAGGACAGTTTTCTAAATGTTCAGAAAATTGTTTTTCAGTAAAATATTTTGAGTCGTGCACTGTAGCTTCATCCTCGTCATTCAACATATATTCAAAATGTGTTGCATTCATATTCGACTCTGCAACAATATTATCATCAGACTGAGTGTGGCTCAATTGAGTAGCATTAACCTGAGGCATCATAACCTTGACTAAAATCTGCACATAGATCTGTGGTTATAAAGAAAGTAACTGGATTTAGCAATAGCACAAAAGGGAAAAAAAAAAGACATACACACAATTGACAGAGATGTTAAAAGCCATCCTTTCCGCATGGTCAAGCATCACGTGTACAAAAATGTGATGTGTTAACATATTTACAAACTTCCTCAAAATGAGTAAGGAAAAAAGACTCATTTACAGAGGAAAAAAAAACTAACAAGTAACAAAAAAACAAAAACAAACGTGGATTGCTTCTGGGGCCCAGAATCAACCTAAACAAAAAAATGAAAATGAAAGTATGTAAATCATGCTAAATAAGACCCCCTCCCCCCTTTTTTTTCACTGTGGGGGTACGTTAGTCCCTCAGAAATATTGATCTCGAACATCATCTTGAAGTTTTGTTTTTTCTATTTGGTTTCGCTTAGTTTGAGTTAGTTAGTTAGTGAGTGGTTGATCACATGCATGATCACGGATGAAATGAACCCCCTGACAGATTTGCTCCCAGTATTTGCTCCTGTTCAAACTCTTGTGTGCTCGAGCTTCCGCATATCTGGGGGAAAAGTGTACGGGGGATAAAAAGGCTGCCCCAAGTCTTCAGAACAAAAGCACATGGCAGGGCAGATATTCCAGAGGACCGGGGGTGCCCCATGATTTTGAAAGGGGGACGTGACAAAAAACTCACTTAATGTGCCCTTTTGTTTCTTTGTTTCTTTGCTGGTTTGTTTTGCTTTTCTTTGTTTATCATACTTGCATATAAATCGGGACGTACAAGAATATGCAACCATCCCCCTGCCCGTCCCCCTCCAGTTTCGCCCCGATGATATTGAATTTCTGCTTCTGTCACTTCTTGAACATCAAATAGACCGTTTCATTAATATTTTCAAATTTTATGTCTACTTTTAAAACAAAGATTGTTGTTGACAATCTGAATTAAGCTGGCCCGAGACTTGCCCGACATAGCAACAAGTAATGTATGCAGACTAGATTCCAAGTATTGTACGGTTAATTGAATAACTTGTCACTAGATCCTTAGGAAATAATATCCGTATATTTGAATATATTTGTAAACCAGCTTGGAATGAGAGAAAGCGAAAGAGAGAAAGAGGGGGAGAGAGGCTTCTCCTTCTTCTTCTTCTTCTTCTTCTTCTTTTTCTTCTTCTTCTTCTTCTTCTTCTTCTTCTTCTTCTTCTTCTTCTTCTTCCTCCTCTTCTTCTTCTTCTTCTTCTTTCTTCTTCTTCTTCTTCTTCTTCTTATTCTTCTTCTCCTTCTTCTTCTTCTTCTCCTTCTTCCCCTTCTTCTCCTTCTTCCCCTTCTTCTCCTTCTTCTCCTTCTGCTCCTTCTTCGCCTTCTGCTGCTTCTTTTCCTTCTTCTTCTTCTACTTCTTCTTCTTCTTCTTCTTGTTTCCATGTGGATCCCTATAAAATAAAATCCTTCCTATGCTTTTGCCAGCGCAACCCACGACTATTGTCCGTGATGACTTAGCCCCCCCCCCCCCCATTCCGAGAACGGACGGACCCCATGCGTGTTACCAAATGTCCGGTAAAGGGGTACTTTTCGTGCGACAAAGTCCGGCCCGAGAATTGTAAAAAAAAGGGGTGTATTAACTTTTCACCCGAGACGTTCTAGAATTCCGTGTCTACAGATTAATTAATTTCAACTTTGTAAGCGGACACTTTTTTTTTTTTTTTTTGGGGGGGGGGGGGGGGGAAATCGCGACGACTCAGCCAGCCGAAAAGTCGCTCAGTGGGGGGGGGGGGGGGGGGGGGGGGGAGGGGGGGGGGGGGGGGTTAAGAGGACATTTTTTTTTTTTGGTCTCGAAATTTGAAAAATTGACATTTTTCTTCGTTGGGGGGGGGGGGGTGGTAAGGTCACCTTTTTAAACCAAGGGGGGGGGGGGTTTAGGGGGGTTAACATACATAAAAATATCAAAGATGGGGTTCAACCCCCCCCCCCCCCTGCGTACGCCCCTGCATATGCGTGTTCAATCCTTTTGAAAACACCCCCTAAGTCCGGTGTGTAAAATTAATTTTGTGTATGTACGAGCCGGATTTTGGTGCGTGCAAAGTACCCCTTTACCGGACATTTTGGTAACACGCATGCGGTCATTCCGAGCCCGGAGGGGGGGGGGGGGGGGGGGGGGGGGGGGGGGGGGCGGGGCGGGCATTCTACCTAGATCAAGAGGGACATTTTGTTAATTTAGAAGGGACACTTTTTGTCGAGAGAAAAATTACTTGATTATCAAAAAAAGTTGGGGGCATGATCCTTTGCCGCTAAAGCTTTCAAAGTTTTTAATCTCTAATTCCTATACATTGTAAAAATTGCCTCTTGTTTTTATAGTTTGATCATCATCTTTTTTCAACGCATTCTAGACACAGAACAGAAGGCCAGCAAAAGTTGGAAGGTGAAAAGGGGACAGTGAGATCTAGAGAGAGAAAAGGGAAGGGGAAAGAAAGAGAGAGAAACGGGGGAGGGGTGGGGGGGGGGGGGGTAAAGAAAGAAAGAAAGAGTGAAGGGGACATAAAAAGTTTTCTGTTGACTTAAATAAAGCACACTAACCAATTAAGGACTCAAAGTAAAGGGGAACGAGGGAGATACAGAGAGAGGAAGAGAGAGAGAGAGAGAGAGAGAGAGAGAGAGAGAGAGAGAGAGATGAGATTGAGAGGGGGAAAGCAAGCGGAAAAGGGAGAAGGTAAAAAGGAAAGAAAGAGGGAAAGGGAGAGAGAGAGAGTTCTCTTTAGACTTAAATAATGCACACTAACAAATATTTTAAGCTTCAGGATTCAAATTTACTTTTTTATTGTCCATTAGATTATTCCAATTATATACTTCCACTGGTGTTGAACAGATTGTGCAATACACAAAATAAAAGTCCAAATTCAAATTACATTCATCATTTATGTAGGGAAAGGGATACAGCTAAAGTGAATGTGAAAATCAAACAATGAATTTTAGCCAAGACTGTAAAGTAGTTATATTGGCAACTAGAATTTAGGCGATTACGTGAGATGAGTCCCACATGACAAAATACTCTGTATACTCGTTTTATGTTTTAATTTATTAAAAGTGGAAAATCACTGCATAATAAAAAATGAACAACGTTCATTTTCGTGGTCGCTATGAAAAGACCACATGATATTTTCGTAATTTTTTTTTATCAGTCATGTTTCACAGATGTCAAGAGATCATTATTGTTTTCCCTAATGTCCAATAACACGAAATGACCCATTTTGAGGATTATATTCACATTTCTTTTTAGTGGGGTTAGGCCTACATGCCATCAGCGGTACAAACATTCATCAAATTATGCGATTACACAAATTGTGACATGCATGATGATTGCCTTGTTGGTATGGAAGCATATACAAAACACAAATACATTAAAATCGCCTTTATAAACATTTCCATTAAGTTATTATCACTCTGGGCATTGGGGGAAAAATCATTCGTACATGATTTACATGCCTGATTGCAAATGCTGATTACGCCAAAGAGTGATTTCTCCCATAACGCTTTGTAACATCGACTGAGAATTAAAAAAAAAAAAGACAAAGTAAAACAAAATGGTCAAAATCAAACCAACCCGACGCAGGTTTAAAGCCCAAGGGGTTTCCTCAGCATCAATTATTATCCATGATTGTTCTATGATACACAAAAACCACGCTCAAATAGTGGGGATGAGGGTTGGGGTGAGGGCAGGGGGCAGCTATGAAGGGGGAACAGAGAGAAAGGTTCCAATTTTGTATCACATCCAGCATAGGGTTTTAAATTGTTAAGGTCCATTAAAGATTGGAGACTTTGGATCTGGTCTGATAGACACGTATTCCATTCTATTTGGTCGGTGCCTGTGTCGTCTTCTCCTCTACGAAGCTGGATAAAGTGACTGTCTCGCCGGAGATAGGCTTATAGATCACAAAGAGAGCATGGCATCCGTCTCCAAGATGGGCCTGGATTTGTATTAGGGATGGATGAGAGAGAGAGAGAGAGAGAGAGAGAGAGAGAGAGAGAGAGAGAGAGAAGAAGAAGAAGAAACAGAGCCATAGTTGAGGAGGGGAGGAGGAGGAGGAGGAGGAGGAGGAGGAGGAGGAGGAGGAGGAGGAGGAGGAGGAGGAGGAGCAGAGAGAGGAGAAGGAAGAGGAGGAGTTGGATGAGGAGGAAGAAGAGGAGGAGGAGTAGATAAAAGGTGAGTTTGAGAGAGAGAGAGAGAGAGAGAGAGAGAGAGAGAGAGAAAGAGAGAGAAAGGGAGAGAGAAGAAAGGAAGAGATAGATGATGAAGAGAATCAAAATTAAAATTTAGAAAACCATCGTAATAAATAATATTTCATAATTATTAAAAGTGGGGAACTTGAATTTTGAGATAATCTAGCGCTAATCATACATGATGGTTGTTTTCACAGCCCCCCCCCCCTATTTAGATTGCTACATCAATTTTATCAGAAAATCTGAAATTGGTCAAACAAGCTTCGTGCATGCTCCTTGTCTAAAATTTGAATCCATCAGGAATTAAAATAAGAGCGATTCCTTCCTTATCACTGCTTTTATAGCAGTGGCGTATCCGGACCTTCATTTCAGAAGGGGAAATAGATGGTTCACGCATTTTATGCAATGAAATTGGACCCTTGTTCATCCCGTTATTGTTAGGTTGGCGTGAAAGGTGTTACAGAATGAATGTTTAAAACCTAGATGAGGGTGGGGGAGAAATATAGGACGTCAATGACCTTCAAGTCATCATCTAAGTGGGCTTGTTCTTTCCCCTATCTCCCCTTTCATATAAGTGTCAGACCCAGGGAGAAATGGGATGATGGGTGCCCCTTTAATAATCCAATCTTCATTTCCTGCATTCCTTTAAAAACATAAGTAATGTACTCTCATTGTGGCCCCTTCCAAATTAAAAAAAGATAAAGTAATTTGCTAACTAACTATTATTGTGTACTCATACTACACAAAAGTATAGCATATATGAAGAGCTTAATTCCAAAGGAGTTAAATCCACTTTTTATGAAAATTGAGTTATTGATATCAGAACACTGTTCACTAAAGTACCCGTCTTTCAAAAAAAATTATTTACCTAAATTTGAGGAGCAATTATGAAAAAATGCACCTTCTTTAATCACTTTTCCATATCGCTTGTACAAAATCTGGTAAAAAAAACAACTTTTTTCTCCGAAGTTACAAAAATGGATTTAGCTCCTTTTGGAATTAAACTCTTCATAATTATACTGACTGCTGTTGCTGTTTAGATTTATTAGAGCAATTTTTTTGTAGAGCCCCCTTCCCCAAATCCCGGGTCCATTCCTGCTTCAAAATACCCCAGTGAGTTTATCAGAGTCTAAGTCGTACCTTGATGCGATAGTTGAGACCAGCGACGACCTGGGTAGCGAACTCCAAGGGTTCCAGGGCTGCGAAGGTCCTCTTCGCTTGGACCTGAGCTGGTTCTCGTACCTACATATGAGAAGAAGAAAAAGGATGATGTAAAGAAGGCAACATTTATTTGGAAAATTCAAAGCAGGGGAAGGGGGTAACTCTTAACCCCCCCCCAAAAAAAAGGGGGGGGGGGGTAGGAAAGCAAACGCAGATAATAATGTTTGTCAATATTATATAGCTCGCTATACAAAAACAATCATAACACTATTTTGATTTACAGATTCATGGTCGGTCCATTTTAGTTTTACTTTGTTACTCTGACTGTCATCATTATATTTTCAGCGGAATGTATCCCATTTTACAGCTAGTCTAATTATCTAGGCCTGCTCATGTCGTGAAATTTAGTAAATATTATATTGATTTTTATACCACCCCTTGAATTCAATTTTATCAGCACCATCGTATAGGGGACTTTAAGCAGCATGAGGCATCACAGGGATAGGGGCGGATATTTGCTAATATCTTTGTTGTCGAAAAATAGATTAGGAAATAAATTACCCTTGTCCACGAAAGAACGAAGCAGAACACAAGATCTTCTGTAGGGAAAATGTTTTCCCAAGACGTGATAATACCAAGCCCCTCCCCCAAGTGAAATGTATAACTTCAAGTAAAATATAAAAAACAGTTTTCGAAGTGAAATCCACGATTGTGATCATCATCAAAATACTAGAAAAGTAAAAGAAAGATTGTAACCGGTAAAAAAGGATAATCAAAACAGAACGGAATATCATGATTAAATAAACAGGAAATTACATTAGTATTTCGAAATGGATTGAGAAATAACGTGTCATTTGCCAGAAGAAAAAAAACGCAGCGTAGGTCTCTCCTGACAAACTTTTCCTACATAAAGTAAATCACCGAGTATATCGTTGTCTAGGTCGGGGTACGAAGGCATATCGCTTGGAGCCCAAGGTCCAATCTCAGGAGCTTTATATTAAATTCAAGCTGATGTTTTATGCTCAACTTTTCGTTCAAAATCGATGTATAGATGTTTGGTTATTCAAAATAATGGAATCCATTTTCAAAAGAGTTATTCAACCACATTTTGGATTGGATTCCACTATAATTCATAATGATTTCAAGAACTCCATAGGAAGTGATCCCTATTAAATGATTAGTACTCCTAAAAATGGATATGCACTTACTATGCGTTAATACGGTAAGGGGCGGGGCCACAATTTCAATGGCATGTTATTTTATCATGGCCATGGAGACTATTTTCCGTAACCACCGAATCGTGTCTCAGAATAACAGAATCAAAAGCTTTTGCGGGGTCTATTATTATAAATGGCTTGATCCTACGCATGAATCGGTCAGCTATTTAAAAGCCTTTCCAGGCATGTGTATTTTTAATGAGATTTTCTTGTCGTTAGTGTCGTTGTTTGTTAATATTATCGGGGTTTTTTCTCCAGTTTTTCCCCCAGTTTTTTCATTTTTTTTTTCCTTTTCGGGAGGGAGGGGGAGGGGGGGGGGGGTGTTGACTTGTTTTTGTTCATTTTTTGTATTTAATTCTATTTTAATTCGTTTTCTATCATGTCTATAGTTCTTTAGCTTATAATTATGTTACAGCTCTTTTGACCCCCCCCCCCCAATGAGCAATACGAAACATGAGTAAATACGCATTTAAACCATGAAGTGAAATGGTAACTCCGCATGTAGTTAAACGATTCCTTTTTCAATGTAGATTTACAATACGACTTTGTTACGGACGAATGACAGACATCTGGGTTATCAGAAGAAATCACATTTCTTTCATTTCCGATGGAGTCGTCTCTAATTAAGTAGTTGCTATGATAATCAAATTGGCAACATCCTACAGCTCTTGACAACAACAAGTTTCAAGTTTCAAGTTTCAAGTTTCAAGTTTTATTTATCTTTCTTCATAACTCACATTAGAAATATGACATGAATATAACAAGTGAACAGAATATGGCGTTACAATAGAAAGATGAGGTGACCTTGGTTGAAAGCAAGGCTTGTGGATTTAAGGTCCCTCATAAGTAGCTTATGAGTATGTCCTAAAAGATCAAACTCGTCAGATAAGAATAATGCGTACATTTAAATGCTTACAATCTAAACTAACTAAACAACTGAGAAAATATAAACATAAATAAGTACAATAAAATCTACTGACTACTAAATAACGGCTATAAACAAGAGGAACAGGAATATGCTACGACCAACAGGACTGAAACACAGACAAAAACTAAACAAGACAGACAGATGAATAGATGTGAGAAACGGGAGTAGATTTATGCTGATCTATATAGCAAATAATTTTCTTAAATATTGATCACAACTATAAATCTAGACGATATCGACTCAAATAAAGTAACTTCAACATGACAAGTACACCAATACTGTTCTAAGAGATATCCTAATATCAACTCTCAGTTGTACATCATTCATCAGCCGTTTTATACGACAAGCTAAATATATTTATCACAAGTTAAGATATTATTTGTTGGGTAATACAATCAAGCAACTATGGCGGACCTAATTTATGGTATTCCAATTTACTTTAAACAATAAACTTGATAAAGATATAATGCCCCATCACACTCTCATGTTTTGAAAGGCTCAAGCTGAATATCCTGAACCTTGTCCCCCATATGTTATTTTTCCTTTTTGTTGCCTTGTCTTTTGATTTGTTTTTAATTTAATGATTTACCATGCAATTATATCAAGCTTTCATGTTTAAATGTTTAATTGGACTTTGGTAGGTTAATACATTTGGCCTTTGATAGCCCCAAACCCCAATGCACATCGTGACTATAGTATTGATTATTTCATCTTTATTCTACATTATGTTTAAGGATTGCGATCTTTCTTGCATTGTGGAAGTAACCCAACTGAAATGAGCTGAACCATATTTATCAAACATGATCCCAAAGGCTTTCGAGAAAACAACTCAAATTATACCTTATTGCATATTCCACTGAAATCATAATCGGATTGATTTAGCTGTCACTGCGATGTTTGCACTATTCAATAATGACCGACAAAGCTTTTTGAATTATGACTTTTCGAAAGTCTTTGCGATCTAGTTATCATTTACTTTATTCAACTTTACGTGATGTTTATGTACAAGAATTAAAGAAGAGTCGATTGGGAAGAAAGAAAACTGATTCCCACGAGGGATTGACCATGGCGCTTAAAAATAGCCAACTTTCGAGTAACTGCCATACTAACTCACCTGATCAAGAAGCCCTTGAAGTTTCTTCACTTCTTCAGCTGGAAGACCACTCACAAGGCTCGTCTCGGTCCAGCCTCCACAAACTGGTGATTCCTTCTGCTTCATTTGTTCGGATACTTTTTGTTGTTCTTGAGCCATGATGATGTGGATTCGAAGCTTTTAGCAGGGAGATAGATCAAGAAATCGATGTTTTCCAGTCAGTGCCGCTTACGTGTGTGAAACAGTAGATCGAAACGGAGATCAAGTTGTTGCATTCTATAATCACATATTTCCTGGGTAGCGAACCGTTCAAGCATGGCTATTGGCCTACTGTGAATTTGTCTGCATTCGCTCAAAGAGAAGTGTATCGAGTAGCCTTTGCAACTTTTTCAATGATTGGGGATGGGTGCATGGGGGATCGAGAAACACACTGCAACGTAAAACAAAGCATACACCCCCATCCATTTCATTATATTACCTTTATACCATGAAAACACATTGGGGTCGATGGTGTAGCTTGCATTTATTTCAATATACACCTATATTGTGAATTTGACTATAATATCCACACAAACAGAAGTTTTAACCAAGGGGAGTTAGGAGCTCATGCCCCAATATCTCAACCCCCTCTGTACATTTACAGGTAAATGTTCAGGTAGATCGATTGAAGGGATACCACTTTCTTGTTTTGGGGTAGGCCTATAGGTCTAGTCAGGACGCGTGCTCATGAGGCGGAGCCCTGAAGAAACCCCCATAGCTATATATAGTTCATTTAAAATAATGCCTCTATTTCATTTGTCCATTTTCATGACCAAACTTATATTTCCTCTATTTCAACTTGACAAACATTTTAATAATTCATTTCGCTATAGCTATGATTGTGAAAACTGGAAACTTTATGCCAGCATGGCAAGAGACGACACCCCCTGGCAAAATGTCTTGTGTCCGTATACGCCTTGTTCATGCCATGCGTGTCGTCTGCGGTTTTATGGGTGTGTTTGCAGCCACCCCCGCCCGCCCGCCGCCGCCCCCTCGTGCAAATATCTGACGTCATGAAAACGGGAATCCCGCATGGCTAGGCTGTGTCAATAAAACATATACAATGTATCATTCTTATTAAATGTGCTCCAAATACCAGTACTCATAATGATAATGCAGAGGCGTGTAGAACAATAGGACACGTTTGGAGCGATGGTGGAAATACCCTAATCACCCCCTGTACATTTTTGTCAACTCGACCCTATAGGTTGTGGAAACGACAATTAAGGGTCTAGAGTAGGCTAACTGACCTTTAAAACAAAATATGATTCTTTTGACCGTGTAGAATGCAAACTTATTCCCATTAATCTGCCCAGATTTTAATTTTCTCTAGCTGTACAGTGTAATCCCCATGATATTATTATGGTACGTATAAGCCTGTCAAGCAATCATCGACTGAAAAGAGCGCGATCACTAGATTAAAGCCCCTCTAAAGTGTTGGGAGCCCCACTAGATTTGATGGCAAAATTTCACTTTAATTGTATCATAACAAATAATGTGAAAGAGGGTGTGATTTAATACACGTTTTGCAAGGATTTTCAAAACAAATGTATTTGAACTCGAATATTGATGAAAGAATAAATAATTTGCTTTTTCTGTTGTACGCAGAAAACCTATTTTGTCAATATTTTGTCTTTACCCCCCCTTTTTTTTTGGGGGGGGGGGGATCTCTGCAGAAGTGTGTCTTAAATGACATCTTCTTTCACATTATGCTACAATTAAAGTGAAATGTTGGCGAATTTGGGACTCCTAGCACTTTAGAGGGGCTTTAAACTTTTGCGTACACAAAACCATGCGTAATATGAATTTCTCGATAGCCTCAAGTGATATCGAACACAGGACTATAGTAAAGTTTCAGTATCAGTTTCAGTTTCAGTTTAAGTTTCTTTTCATATTTGACATGTTGTATAGTACACCATTACATTTGGCATGTTATATTTTTGTAATCATTTTTGGATGCATTTATACAAACAGAAGGAATAATACATAAGACTAAGGTAAGTAAAGGAAGAAATATGATGGAGCCTAAAGAGAAAGCAATAAGTGTAGGCCATAGGCTCCGGGAGTTATAACAGTGAAATAGTCTTGTGTTTATTGAATAACGTAATTGAATTAAATTTAAACTTATTATGAAGGAAAAAAAATGTTCATATACTTAGCAATATTTGTATTTCATTTCCATACCCGTACGCAATGGCAATTCTCATAGGAGCATACCAAAAATATCGGCATCATTTTGACAGGGAGTGTCGCTGGCTGTGTGCCGGTAAAGTACGATGTTGTAGAACAGACTGGTTTGCAATGACGCCAGCATCTTGGTATGATGGAACAAACATGAATAGAACATTTTTTCGATACACATTTATGTAAAGCAGTATCCCCTGGACTACCTGCCCTGGACGACTGAATAGCATACCACCAATGGCAACTTGATGGGATAACAACAGTTACCAGTATTTGTATTATACCAATTATGAAGGGATTAATGCGCCCGGGGAGATTAATGGAATTACCTTTACCCCCCCCCCCCCTACCCCGCCGAAAACGTGTATAGTCTACGTAACTTTACAAGCAAGGAAGCAAGTCGATACAATTTCGCGTTTTTTTTAAACGCTTTTCTAACCCCCCCCCGGTCCCCCAAGAAAAAGAATCTTTCAAATTATGAACCTTTGTATAATGCTATTTAATACGCTTTATACAGGGGCGGCCGAGCGACTTTCAAAGTGGGGGGGGGGGCACCAAGAAAAGGGGCACTTTCTGGAAAAAAGGGCACCTACAAAGGGAAATCTCAAAGCGAGCATATTCAAATTTTTCGACATTGGTATATACCCCTACATTGTGATTACAGTTATCAGGGATGATTTCAATATTTGTTTTACTTTATACACCATATATACAAGATATTGCTTAAGTATCATGCTTTGCAGTTGATTGTCTAAACAATTGTTTGCGAGCGAAGCGAGCGAGGAACAATTTTAAGATGTGTGAGGTCGCGGTGCGAAAAATTACATCTTATAAAGAGGAAAAACCCAATCCTTAAGGGTTATAAGCATATTGTCATAACGGAAGACTGAAAAGGCCTTTGATAAGTAACATAAATATATCATCTATAGATGTGTGCGAGCGTAGCGAGCGAGCTTTGGGGGAAATTGCTCTTAGCCACTTGAAATTAGCTAGGGCGTGTTTAATGATGAGAGGAAAAGGGAATACTTATCAGGAAAGGAAAGGAGCATGTACCAAAGTACAAAGAGTAATTATTAGGGGAGCAAAGGGGGCACTTCTTTTATCCTCAAAAAGAGGCATTCACCAGGGATGAAAAAAGGCAGTCATGAGAATAGGAAATGGGCATTTGTCGACGGAAAAGGGGCCTCCATCAGATTTTGATAGGGACATTTATAAGATATCATTGTTGCTAAAAGGGAATTAATCAGAGGTGAAAAGAGGCACTTATCGCATCTGAAAAGAGGCAATGACCAAATATGAAAAGGGGGACTTATGTGAATGAAAAAGGGCACTTTAATAAAGGAAAATGTGCATTAGTTAAAAGAAAATGGGCACCGATCAGACTTTGAAGGGGCATTTATCGGAGGTGAAGGGGGCACTTATCTGAAGTGAAAAGGAGTAACTTCTTGTACCTGAAAAGGGTCATTTACCAGAGAAGGGGCACTTATTAGAAAGAAAAAGGACACATGTGAAAATATAAGGTGCGCTTATCCGAGTTAAAATTGGGGTAGTTATTAAAAAGGGAAGGGGCACTTTTCAAAGCAAAAGAGGCACTTTTCGTACCTAACTATGAACACTTACTAGAGATTAAAAAGGGCACTTATGAGAATGGAAAATGGACACTTATTGCAAAGGAAAATGGGAACTTGTCGAAGGAAAAGGGCGTATCCAAATAAAAGGGGCTCTTATCAAAGTTGAAAAGGGGAAGGGGGCACTTTTACATATTAATAGGGGCACTTGTCAAAATAAAAGGGGCACTATTCCTATGTAAAAAGGGGCACTTCTTAAAAAGTTAAAGGGGCACTTTTCCTATGTAAAAAGGGGCACTTTTTGGGTGCTCGAAAAAGTGGGGGGGGGGGGCTTTATCAGGCTTTATACTAAATTCAAGGGGGGGGGGCAATGTTTACCAAGAGGTCGATGAATTTTACATACTCAGGCCCAATATATTGCGCAAACCAAATAGAAATAAGTTGTCTTGTTGACAACTTTGAACCTTTGAAAACCCCTTTTCACAAACGTTATTCTATATTGGGACTCGATATTACGATATTCTTAATCAATGGCCCATATAGCGAGGGAGCGAAGTGACCGAGCTTCAGAAAAGTTTTCCATTTAAAAACCCTCAACAAAATAATGTCTATTGCAATTTACAATCCGTATCAGGGCGCTTATAATTCTAAATATAATGATAAGTTTTCTTTCTTTTCTCCTCCTTTTCCTTTCCACTTCCTTTGTTTTTGCACCCCTATTTGAAATAGTATCGGCTTGTTCTGTTACCCTTACCAGGGAATATAGTTCCCTGCCTCTTGTAGCTCCAGTCCGAGATTCTGCAACATTTGAGGCATTGCTGTGTTTATAGGAGGTGTGGTAGAGGCCCTCTGTGGTCCAGCGCTGCAGGATAATATGTGACACATTTTGTTTTACATAGAGGGCGTGACACGCCATGCAATGGTACGTGTTTCCAAAAATTGATGAACATCATTGGGTAAAATACCTATTACACAGTATAGGCCTTTACTTAAAATGATAATTATGTCATGGAGCTCGCGTAGCCAGGATTTTATTTTTTTGGGGCGGTAGTGAGCACGCGAAGCGCGCTCCCTAGGGGGTGGGTGCAGGGACGGGGGAGTTCCCCCTCCAGCTCAAAGTGCGGAAGCTTTGAAGTTTCATTAAATGAGAAAGAGGCGATTCGTTGTACCGTTCTCGACTCTAAATCCTTGTCTGAATTCAGTTTCCCCCTCCCGCGCGACGCGGAAGCTTTGACGTTTCATAAATTATTAGAGAAAGAAGACGATCTGTTTTACAGTTTTCGACTCTTAATCCTTATTTCAATTCAGCCCCCCCCCCCCCCTCCCGCGCGAAGCGCTGAAGCTTGACGTTTCATTAAATTGTAAGAGAAAGCTAGAAGACGATTCGTTGTACCGTTCTCGACTCTTAATCCTTTTCCTTCCTACGTCCTCTTCCTTTCTTCTTTCTCTTTTTTTTTGAGAGGGGGGGGGGGGGCGACCGCCCATACTGCCCCCCCTGCCTACGCGCCTGCTCTTGATTTATTTTCAATTTCCAGAAATTTCCTGAATTTATGGAAAATTGGAAACACTGCTGATGCCTATCAAAGGACGCCATACCTTTGAGCTCTGCCCTCATTTTGACCATTCCATTTCTGTAGTCATTTCAAGTCATTCTGTAGCGTCACATCGATGACGACAACGACGACCAGGATGACAACGACGTTGTTGATTTTGTTTGTAGGCCTATTCATCGCTTTTATTTCACAAAGCTCCAATTCTTTTTCGTACAAAGTTTATACAAAACTGCAACATAATTACAACAAAGCTTTTTTTATTATTTGATAAACAAACATGAATATCATTGATCATTATTTCACAATGCATAGGACGAAAAAAATATCACAATCACATTAAAAAAAAAAAATATCGCACTACACAGTTATTTCATTCCCAAATCTAGAACAAAAAACGATGATGATCGATGACGACAATTGTGGTAACTCTTACACTGTCGCTCATATAGTTGGAATATTTTTGTTTTACCCAAATTTATGGAATTATTTTAAAAATAATTAAAAAATAATAGATCTAGATAATAGTACACATTCTCAAATTTTATTGAATAATAAATTGACAATGTTTGTTATGCGTGACTGCTAAAGCATGTGTATGCTACTCTGTGTGCCCATGCCTTGAGCCATAATGCATAGCCGTCCAGAGGATTTGTTTATGTTGGGGACCGGGGTAATATGCAATAAATTATTGAACATTTATTGCATTTTCTGTTTTTTAATTTTATTTATGGAAACTGCCCCCCTACCCTAGCACCCGCTGCCTACAGTCATGGTTCAGTGACAAAGCAATGGCCTCGTAACTGTGAGGCCCCAGGATAAAAATCGTGTCGATGTGCTATATTAGTGTCCTTTTGTGGGGCATTAATCCTCATTACTGTCATTTATGACTTAAGGGCGTAGGTCCCCTGGTTGATAAGCATAGTAACATACACATGCTTTAGCAGTCACGCAAAACAAACATTGTCAATTTATTATTCAATAAAATCTGAGAATGTATACTATTTTCTAGACTTATTTTTAAATTATTTTCAAAATAATTCCATAAATTGGAGTAAAACAGAAATATTCCAACTATATGAGCGAAAGTGTATGATGATATCAAAATTATCATCATCACCGTTGTACTTATTAGTAGCGATAATTATCATGCCATTATAATGCCGATGAAAGTTATTCGGGATTACCAGGCCCATGATGAAGGGCATAATAGGCCCTATATTTACACAATTTTGCTTTAAAAAAAATACATTATAGACATTACAGCTTGTTGGCTATTCTGTTCAGTTTCCATTTTCATTCATGAACAATATTAACATGATGTTTGATACGAGGCTTTTTCACAAAACAACATAATATCTTTGTATTACAGAATTTGCCTTTTCCAGACATCCATCTCAATCGTATAGGCCTTTTTTGCTCCTTATTTGCGGCTCTCTCTGATAAATAACTTATTGAAAACAAAAGACAATCCAGTCAAAGAAAAAAAAAATGTTGATTTCATTTAATTGCCGCTCGGGATTCTCTGACGCAAAATTGTACACCCCCCCCCAAAAAAAAAAACAACCAAAAAAAAACGGGGGGTGGGAGGGGCTGCGAGGGCCACATTCAGGTGCCATTTTTCAAGGGGCATGCTGCAGGGGCACACTAAATGGGAAGATATTCTTGTCTTGATTGATTGATTTTTATTCGACAAGCTTCCAACATACAACAATATACAATAATAACAGATCAAAAAAAGTCAGCTTGAACAGGATAACCCACGAAAGCTCGAGAGCTTATTTCCAGTGGGGTCCCTTACAGACATGTATAAAATTAATAAGTTAAAATAGTAATATTTACAGACAGATAAGAAAATTAAAAGAACTACTTATTAAAGATAATAATAATAACAACATTAAACTGATGATAGAAATGATATTAAGTACAAGAAGAAAAAGAAGAAGGAGAAGAAGAAAAAGAGGAGAAGGAAGAAGAGGAAAATAATGATGAATTTGTAGAAATTCTATAACGTACGAAAACATAAGTATATACAACATGAAAAAGTATGAACCGACAGAAGAATAAAAATTTCAATCATATAACATGTCATTCACTTCTCTTCTCTGACTGTCAAGTATTAGGTATTCCTTTAATTTCCTCTTAAAATGATCATAGTTTCCTATTTCTTTTACACCATTGGGAAGGGAATTCCAATGTTTTATGGCATTGTAATAAAACGAATTTCCAATACTACCTACTCTTTCAGGTAAGTTAAAGTTGAATCGTCTATTTCTTGTATTATAATCATGTACGTCAGTAACAAGATCGAAGTTGGATCGAATATAATGATTCGACCTAGTATGGTATATTTTATGCACATGATGCAATACGAGTTGTTTTGATCTTTGGTCGACTTCAAGAAAACCAGCTTTAGAAAGTTCGCTGTAGCCAACATGAGTTCTTGGACCAGAACAGTTGATAAATCTCACCATTTTGTTCTGTATAATCTTCAACTTCTTTTGATCTGACTTGTTTATGTTACTATACCATGCAGGGTTAGCATAGTCAAATAAACATTGAATAAGAGCAAAACAGAGTGTACGTCTTGCTTTTAAATCCATACAACTTTGATATCTGTACAAAAATTTCAGACGAGAATTTGCTTTTTTTACAACTGATTCTACTAAAGATGAAAATGAAATTGCGCTAGCCAACTCAATGCCTAAATACTTCACAGACTCTTTTCTCTTGATTGCTTGATTATTGTGTGTCACTTTGAATTCAAATGACTTTTTAGAACTACTTTTAGAACAAAATAAAATGCTTTCTGTTTTTCCCAAGTGTAAAGAAAGCTTATTATCAGTCATCCAATCGACACACGTAGACAGCTGTTCACTGAGCTTTTCCTCAATATATTTAGGATCAGGATTTGAATAGAGTAGTACGCTGTCATCTGCGTACAATAATAGTTTGAAGTCTTTTATACAAATACACATATCATTTATATAACTTGAAAATAGAATTGGGCCTAAAATGCTTCCCTGAGGAACACCGCAAGTTATAGGCATTAGTTTGGAACGAATATCATGAATGGCCACTACTTGGTGCCGATTAGATAAGTAGGATCTAAACCAATCTAAACTTGCCTTATCAAAACCCATTAGTTGTAACTTCTTCAATAAGACGCAATGATTAACTGTATCAAAAGCTTTTTGCAGATCATATCAATTCCTTCGCGCTCCTTTTGGGAGATCAACCGACCCGCGCGCATTTTATATTACATGACATATGGTAAAATTCTCGACATCTTTTTACACTTTTCTTTACCATTAAAAATCGAAATTGAGAATAATATCCTCAATCGAGATATGAGAAGAAGGAAACATTTCCTTTACATTCCATGTAAAACCATGCCCTTACTTGAAAAAAAACCTCCGTCACTTTGACGTTGAACTTTACAATCCATTTAAAAAAAATTACTCTCTCATACACAATGTCAATGGATCGGTCGTACTGTGCTCGATTGCCTTTCAAGTTTCAATAAACCAATCTTTAACTTTGCAGCAACGCGTTTTGCGTCAAATTTGTAAATCCTCAATCACAGACAATGACATATGATACGTAAGCTTTTCATACATATAAATTTCATTTTGATTGATTCATTTTTAGCTCCGTCATTTTTCATGTTAAATCATGCTTCATGTGAAGCCCGACCCAGGGTTTTGTGCCAGCTAGCCGTATGCATGTACGTAATGCTATGCATACACATATAACTGAGCTGAACATGCATAAGTACAGTACATGTACACACGCAGCGCAGCGCGTACGAGCGCACTGCACTACATTTGATTGGGTCAGTACCATTATGAAAATAGGGTAACAATGAGTGGGATGGGTTTAGTGCCGTCACAATAAACTTGCGCATTACACGCGTACGTATAATTAGAGCGATTTATGCACCCCCAAGAAATAATGAATACAGCCCGATCTCTCTACACACAGAACTGCACAGATACCGCACAGTCCGGTCAAGGCGGTACGCGTAGCGTTAAACTGCCAAATTTACAGAAATTGTGAGGAGCGCTTTTGCTATGAAAGGAATTGATATGCAAGGAGCACCATACCAACAAAGCGCCCTTGGGAAGTTTCTCTCCTCAAATAATCAGTCAAATGAATTAGACATGTTTCAGTCGAATAATCATGTCGAAAACCAGATTGAAATTCATAAATTATATCATTTTCTTTGAAGTATCTTTCAATTTGAACACAGACCGATTTTTCTAGAATCTTTGATGCTACGCTTAAAACACTAATAGGTCTATAGTTGCTAACATCAGTTTTATCTTTCTTTTTATAAAGTGGAGTCACTTTTGCTATTTTCATATCCTCTGGAAAAGTACTCGTCAAGATAGATAGGTTCATTAAGTAACTTAGAGGCTTACATTTATACCAGAATGAATTGATCAGCACCCCATCATCAACGGAAAACGGTATAAATTCAGTAGATAAAAAATAAAAATGGGGCTGATCATGACATGATCCATTTGTCACCCGACCGAGAACAGGCGTTTACGCACCATTTTGCGCGTGTACGTAGCTATCTATTACGTACGTACACGCAGAGTTTGGGTGCGTACGGCTATGGAAATATGTGCATTATATCTGGGCTGTGATATCAATACGGACCCTGTTTATCACTTTTCTCGACCAAAAAAACACTTCTGTTGCCAAATTGAAATAATTTTATATCGTTGAAGGAACTGCATCATAAAGAATCATTTGTAAGTTTATAATTATCTGTTTTAGGGTCATTTTCAATACACTGATAAACATTTATTATTTAACAGTTATTATCATCGACCATGAATTGGCTGTGAGTGTGATGTGTGTGCAAAGTGAATGCAGCTGCAGATTGTAGTTTGTACTTTGCTGTGTGAGTTTGCCCATGGCACTGGCAGTGCCGGTTGTCTGTGACTAGATCTATGTGTGTTGAGTCGTGTCCAACAAACAAAGTGACTTGCAAATTTCAGGAGCTTAGATGTCCAAACAACATGAGCATTTAGATAAAATTCAGGGCATGAATATTCTATTTATGCTACAAAAATATTGCTTACCGACCTGAATATTGAAGACGAAAACTCAAAATCTTTGAAACAGTGTCAGTGAGTTAGTCTATTAATATAAACGACTGAATTGCCGGTTGCATATCCAGTCAGCTCAGTTAATTAATGTTAGTTGTAAGAAACAATATGCAGTGGTATTACCGAAAGAACAACATAGAAATATATTAAACGGCAGCGCTTGAATCTATTCAATGCCTATTTTTTCCTTGCAGCCATTGTCATGATTGTTGTTGCGGTAGGCTCCCGCAGCAGCAATAATTTGTTCTCGCACATGAAATTTATCTTGTCAACAATTGTCGACATCTGTCCAAAATTTGACCTGCTATGTAGGTCAACAATGAAAATTGAGTTCAACTAAGAACACTATAAAGACAACTAAAGGAATACTGTGCAATAGCTTTAACTTTATCAAAAATAATATCGCTAGTGATATTCGTTTGTCTCGCAATGTATGGTCAACAAGGGATCTAAAAGATCATGACGTTTTGTGCGCCACTGCAACACTTCGTCAGGTGATAAAATCTAATGTAAGCAAGCGTTTTATTATGAACTGCTTCCTTCTGCTTCTTTTCTCGTCAGATGAGGAAATAGATCTCTTACTCGAACCATTCCGTAACTACTGGCTGTTGTTCAGGTTTTCTGCTTCCATTGCTGCAACAGAGAGAACCGCCACAAGAGCGAGACCACTGATTGAAGCTGTGTCCAGCAAGCCATCATCATGGATGGCATCTTATCCTTAGAGTCCACTGATATCAAGACAGGTATCAGGAGGAAGGACATCCTGATCAAAAAACCTCAGGTGGATCAGACGTGCAGTCCTAAGATCGAGGTCAAAGGTGAGAACAGCTGTGTCGTATTTATGCAATGACCTAGATGTACATGTAGTTCAGTCCCTCTGACCTGGGCTACATGTAGGTCATCGAAAAGATGCAAACACTAATACCTTGAATACCTTGAATACTAAAGCTTTTGGAAGAAAGCTGTCTCCAGCTGCAGATCTAACTTCAAAAGGTGGGGGGGGGGGGGAGGGGGGGGGGGGGTTATCCCAGCTTCCGGGTCTTGCACCATGGTCATATTACATCTGTATCTTGCTTGCTGGGTCATATCAGGATTGTCATAGTTGGAAGATCCCACTCTTATAGAATACAGATAACAAGCAAACTAGCCAAGGGTATCATTGTCTGGATTGAAAAGGCATCATACATGTACATGTAAGTCATTTAGAATGGAACATCATACAAACAATAATGAACAAAGAATTATATTTAAAAACGTGCAGCTGAGGTGCACTTCGGACATTACTAGTACTGTGGAACATCCTTATTTAAGATACAGTGTAAATCATAAGTAATCTGTAAGTATCAGTCAGAATTATTGGGTAATGGTAGTTCAATAGGTCTTTGAGCGAGGTTTGCGGTTACACCATAAAGGGCCCACTCATGCTGTATCTCAACGTTTCAATACGTTGTACCTACATGTCTTGTCTTCAGGATGAGTGTTTATGGTTTGGAAGGGGTTTGTATACCCTTGTGTAGGATCCACTGCACCAGTCAGATTGTTCTGATTGGTCAGCTAAGGCTGGATTCTGATTGGTGGACAGTATACAGTATGTGGTGTAATCCTAGTTCAAATCTATCCTCATCATGGAAGCCTTCAATTTCAAAGATTACACTTTCCAGGGGGTGTTTCACAAAGACTAAGATCGACTTACCATAAGTTGGACCTGAACAATGGCAGGCGATTCATGCCCTTAAAAAGTCTTGAACCAGATGTAAAATCAAAAGAAAAACGCCTTAGAAATTATCTTTAGATAATATTTTTTCCTTCCATAATAAAGTATCAACAAATGTAAATTCTGGAGATTTGTGACGTCCCTTGAGAGACAAATGGTGAGAGCAGCCAGTGTCATGAATGGCCTGCCATCGTTACTCAAGTCGATCTAAAGTTAGGTCACAAAGGTTCGTACGAACGATGCCTTCGTACGAATCTCCCTGTTTTTCCATTGTCTGAAAATTGTTTTACAGCGTTCGTAATGGCATTTGTGACCCAGGCTTTAGTCTTTGTGAAACACCCCCTGCATGTAGGTCTTTCTTATTCCTTCCAATCCTGTGACCATTAATGTTCTTTTCTGCCTTTACAGTCCCCCCAGCAGGTGTCATGTACAAGTTGAGGGATTTGAAAGGGGAATTGGTTCAAGCATGGAAAGAAGTCTTCAAAGGATGTGATCAAGTAGAGGTAAGACGCTTGATAGAAAGGGTAGCTAGAAGGGAAGAGGTGGGAGGCGCTAGAAGGATGGGTGGGAGAGGGTTCAAAACACACCATCACAGTAATTTCTTAACCCTTTTGAGACGGTCATTCCCCATTTTGTGGTTTTGCTCAATAACATTTGATTCAGAGCCCCAAAATATATGCATGAGTTAAATTTTCTACACACACTGTGTCCATTTTCGTTGCATAACCACATTGCTTTTAAAAACAGGAATTTTGAATAGGAATAAAGGCTTTAGAATCTGTAAATTGGCAATACGTTGAGAGGTTTTAAATAATTGTTTTTGTTTGACAAAATTCCAACCAATGTATGTTGAATTACAAAAATAAACGATATATGGGGATGTGAACATAAGGACAAGTTTAAGAGATTTTAAGTTGGTTTTAGAACAGATTATCAGTTTCTCGTACCAAATATCTTCAATATCCACTATTTTCTTTTATGCTGAAAACAAATCTCTTCTTTTAAAAAGCACCAGGTTATGAATTCTTTGAAAATTAACTTCTGTATTATGTTTTCAGTTGATTTGACTTATTTTCCCCAGTGATAAGCATAGCTTGACAGTGGTCAAGACAAAGGTCTTTTAAGTTAGTGTAAAGGCAAATAGCAGTATATCACATGAATATATATACATGTGTATCTATCATTTTAGTCTTGCACGGCAGAGAAAGACCCCTTTGTTCAGATACAAAGTCCATAGAATACCCTCTTAGTCCCTCATGATTGTATTTCAGTTTGTCTGATTTAAAAAATGCGCACTTGCGCTCTACACAGTAAGAGGTACATAATCACATTCAAATTAGAACGACAAATATCCATGTAGTCATGCACTTGGTATGTGCTGTAGCGCTGAGTTGATGTTTTGTGAATGTGCATAGTACAAGTACTTCTCTAGGTGTAATAAATACTCGTGATTTGATGCACCTGGTATTGTTCCAGGGTCAAGTGCGCTATGTAGCTAATGCAAATACCTGTAGAGCTAGGTAAACACGATAGGTACAGTGTACATGTCTACTTGTACATTGGTTCACATGTACGGCACTTATCTTAAAGGTACATGTACTCTAAACTGATTTGGTGCTGGGACTTTAAGGGATGGCAAGATAAGCTAACAAAAGAAACACATGAGTGAAATAAATACTGACACAATACCTGTAGAGCTAGGTAAACACGATAGGAGATTTATAGTTGTACATTGATTCACATGTCCTGCGGCACATACTGAATATGAAAGGTCCTCTGAACTGATTTTGGGCTAGGACTTTAATGGATGGCAAGACAGACAGACTAAACAAACACTTGAGTGAAACACATTGACAAAACTGAATATTTCAAACTCATTTTTGGGTACATTGTTACAAAGCAGTGTGTTAAAACTGTACAAAACAATTGTTATTAAGTAAATTATTAAAGTCTTCCATCTGTTTTTTGCCTTGTTTTTAGAATTCCTTGTATTTTTTGAAGCACATTCTTTAAAACCTGTTTGTTATTTTGCAGATGATTGTTATTCTAATAGAAGGCATGACATGCAAATCCTTTAATACACATCATGTACACATACACTGAAGTCATGCTGCACCAGATCTGAACATGCCTTAACCCTTACTGTACTGGGCTATTTCGAGCACTCTCTGACTGGGGGGGGGGGGCCTGGGAGGCCCCCCCCTATGATCTCGGTCGTTGAATGTCCGATGAACGCGAAAATTTGCATGTTTGTAGATATTTACGTAAGGAACAAGATGGTATAATTAGTTTTTTCCTAATATGCAAATTTTTGTCGTTATAGCCTAATTAATTATGCAAAATGCTAATTTTATGCATTTTAGAGAAAACTCTACATATTTGTTAGTAGACTTGTGAAGAATCTTGAAAATGTATTGAATAAATGTTTCCTTCATCTCAAATTCATGAGGTTTCATTATTTTTATGATATTTGAAAATGCATAGGTTAATTTGCATAAATTATGAATATGCAAATTACGCATTCATGAATATCTAATCTGGAAATATACAGGGAACTAGAATCATTACAGAAATTGTCAGACTCATTTCACTCATTATTCATATGAAACTTCTTTTCTAACACAAAATAGTTATTTGATGTAATTAATAATGATAATTTATGCAAATTTGATGTGATTTTCAATTTTTTATTTTCTTATGTATTTCATTGTTTTTTATTTGTTATTATATCTATTGTTTTATTTCTAATGTATTATTTTGTTCTGAAATACATCAAGTTACTTTGAGAAACGTATAAAAGCAATTTGATATCAATTCATATCTTCACATTTCTGCTTGTACATGAATATATGCAATTATAGCACTTTTTTGATGACATGCGCATACTAATTGTTATGTAACACCTTACAGGTATATCCGATTTCGACGAAAATGGTATCAAAATGTGCGTAAGACTTGAGGGAAAAAAGTCATGAAACGACAATTCGAAATTCCGAGCGGTTGCGGCGCGATCTCCGAAAAATGTCGAGGGGGGGGGGGGCCTCCCAGGCCCCCCCCCCCAGTACAGTAAGGGTTAACCCCTTGACTTCTGAATTCTCTCACTGCCATAGGCTTGATACATGGGCCACTCAGTTCCAGTAGGAAATGGGTTAGCTCAGCAATTTTGTTGTCAATGGGCGTAATGAAAATGTTTGTTCGTTCAGACTGTAGTTAGCCTGATGTTGGTCTCGTTGGTGTCACAGACGTATAATGAGAAAAAATAGCAAAGTAAATCCTCAAGGTAATCTATCGTTTTTGTTTGCTATCTCAGGTTTCAGAGGGTGATATTTTCAAGAATGCTCCAGCAGCAGATGCAATAGTAAGTTGAATAAACAAATTGTTATATGAATTTTTTTTCTGTTGACACAATTTGTTTTACTTTTATAAAAGATGTATTCATAAATTGGAAAACAATTCAGATCATGTTTCAGTCATCCACCCGTTGCGGATATTGTCCCATTTATAAACATTGCATTTATACATTGAAAGCAAAATAAAAGTTCAATTAAAGTGTAAATGCAATAGTTTAAGCAAGCAATTATTAGCCTCATTAACATTCTTCTTTTTGAATGATTTGCAATCACAATGTCTTTTTTTCCTGGACTTACTGTAGTTTCCATTTTTCCTTCTTCTCTCTCTCTCTCCATCTCTCACTCTTTCTCTCCCTCACTCCCACATCCCCCCTCTCTCTCTCTCTTTCTCTCTCTCTCTCTCTCTCTCTCTTCCTCTCTCTCTCTCCCTCTCTTTCTTTTCCTCTGTCCCTCCCTCTCTTTCTTTTCCTCTGTCCCTCACTCCCTCACTCCCTCACTCCCTCACTCCCTTCCTCCCTACCTCCCTACCTCTCTTTCTACCTCCCTCTTTTTCTCTTTCTCTCTCCAAATATTACATTCATCCTGTATATTTCATCTTCCTCTTTTTCATTTGCTCCACAGGTTTCTCCAGCTAATAGTTTTGGGTATATGGACGGAGGCATTGATTTAGCATATTCTAGACACTTCGGTTGGCAACTGTAAGTTTAAAGTCCACTCCAAGTTTTATTAAACCGAAATAGAAATTATTTTCCCCAATTGATCGTGAGCCCGGCAGCCACTGAGCAGTGCCAGATCGACGTTGCTCTATCCCTTATTGTTGAACGCCAAACAAGGTAGCAGCAACTCCCATCTTTTATCGACTTTTGGTATGACGCGGCCGGGGATCGAACCCATGACCTCGCGGTTGTGAGGCGGACGCTCTACTGACTGAGCAAACACTCCGGTTTACCTTGATCTCTCGATCATGTTCACTTGTTTCACTTATTAATCACAAATTATTTACGATTGATATCAATCGCAACTATCTACATAAGAGATAGGGGACAGCAAGCTTGCGATTGATTCAAATCAATCGCAACTCTTTATAAGACAGGGCCCAGATTTGCTGTTAGACAGCTTAGAAGTCATCATCAGTTTTTGAATTCATCTTCCATTCATTGTCCACATCATACGTTCAAGCTTTCCAAGTTTAGTGGTATGGTACATGGTGCAGAAATAATGCTCTCCATTTACTTTGTGCACTACATGTAACTGAGGGGTGGTTTAAAACAGACTAAGATCAACTTTAAGTTGAACTTACATGTAACTATGGCAGACTGTTCATGCCACTGTTTGCTCTCACCATTATGATCTTTAGAATATATTTTTTCTTTCAATAATGAATTATCAAAAAATGTAAATTCTGTATTCTGTACAATATAACTAACCATAACCCTAACTGTAAACTTACAAGTTACATTGACACTCTTTTGACAAAATATAACCAAAAGCAATTTCTTTGGATCAAATGTTGGATCTCCAGACTTATATCTCATTTTGATTTATGAAAACGAACAATTAAGTCCCAGATGCAACATTTAATGTCATTGTTTTACTTTTTTTTTCTCTTGTTTTTTTCTTTTTCTTTTCTATTCATTACAGCATGAATAGGTTACAAGAAATTATTATGACAGAGAAAGATGGTGAACTTTTAGTGGTAAGTTTTGAGTTTCAAAGTAAAATAGATTGTGTTGACCATTTATTAACTGTTGTGGAGGGATAGGTCCATGTCAACATTTACATTTGATGTGTATTTTATCTTGCTTGTTCATTTATTTATTCTTTACTTCAGATGTAGAGATGAACAATTTGCAGAATTCTGAGTATCAATTAAGTAGAGATATAGTAGAAATAACAGGCCTGGATTTCAACCTAATTCAAGTAGTAGAGGTGCAACTTTTTTTTCTCTCATTCATTCTTTCTTCTCTCTTGCTTTCCTTTCCTTTTGTTTTTGTAGTTCATTTTGAGGTATGAAATAGTAGAAGTAGAAACTACACAAAGAGGAATTACCAAGAACGAATTCGTCATACGTGTCATGAATATGTAGATTACGAAAATTTCCACATGCTTACATACTTTATTAAAATTATTTTAAAAAAATCAATTCAAAGCGTTGCAAGGCTAGTTTACTCAATTTTTCTTGGAGCAATGCATTAACAAAGGGAAATTCTGCTAGGAATTCTGGGTATGTTTATTCATGTTTATTCATAGCCTATAAGTCAATTTTTTCCTCCGAAACAGAAACAGACATTTTCAAAGATCTTTAGTCAAAGGATGTTGTTTTTTAAGTTTCCATCTCGACAATTCTGAAATTTCAGGGCGATGCAATCATTATACCGACGTGTCAACAGTTCTGGGGGAATACAGAGAAGACATCCTGGGAAGGCTTCAATCAAGGTACCCCTATCAAATACCTTATATCAGCTCCGACCATGCGTGTTCCTGATGATGTTTCTGACAGTATCAACGCTTACTTAGCATTTAGAGCAGTCCTAATAGCAGGTTTGTACATGGTCATTGTAATAATGATAGTGATAATATTCTGGGCTTATATAGTGTGCAATACATTGGCGATGCCACCTTTTACAGATATAATCTAACCCTGGGCATCAGATTCAGGCTTGCCCGCACACAATGTACACACTTTCTCCACTCCCTGGGGAACATTCCAACCAGGCGCTATTTTGCAGATGCTCACAATTCTGAGCAAACAAGTGACTTTAATACACATACTACTGAATACCAATGTAATACTTTGGTGGAGAGTGGCAAACGTGGATTAATGTCTTGCCAACAGACGTCAGTACCGTGCAGGGATTCAATCCCTCAACCGTTGGCTTGACAGTCAAGTGAGTGAGCCACTTTACCACAATGGTTTACATCATGTTTACGTACCCTGTATGTGTACACCCAGTGTCCTAAGTAAATGGCCAGAGTGTTCTCACATACTTCACATTTAGGGCAGTCATATTAGCAGACGTGTAATCAGCTATCATATAGAACGCAAAGTGCGTAATGGTTAAAAATAATATTTTCATTGCCATGGAGGTAGAATATTGGGTTAATAGCCGTTTGGTCTATATCAGTGTCTGTTCGGAAACGGACACTGTCATTTAAATCTGTGATTAATCCATATTATTACAAATGTACAATCAGCTATCTCTTGTGTACGTGAACAGGGTCGCGCTTGATGTACTGAATGTCAAGTTAAGTTGATAAATTGTAATCAATACCAAGATTGGCCTCTGTTTTTACCAAATCAGCTTTAGTTGCTTGGTAACTTACAAGAATGTTCTGTGATTATGATTTACCATTCATCATCGTTCTTTGTTTCTCCTTGACAGTACAAAAACACAATGCAAACACAAGTAAGACCGGTCTCTTGCCTATATCTAGTGTTCTATGTCCAGGACTAGCCACCAATGTGGGCAGGATGCCTCCCAAGAAATGTGCAAAACAGGTAATAATAATCTTTTAAAGTCCACTCCAAACTTATTAAGTTAAACCGAAAATGGAAATTCTTTTAGCAATTGATCGTGAGCCCGGCAGCCACTGAGCAGCGCCAGATCAATGTTGCCTATCCCTTATTGTTGAACGCCAAACAAGGTAGCAGCAACTCCCATCTTTTAACGTCTTTTGGTATGATGCGGCCAGGGTTCGAACCCACAACCTCCTGGTTGTGAGGCGGACGCTCTACTGATTGAGCTAACACTCCGGTGTGTCAGATTTCATTATTCAGTAATAATAAATACAATGGTTTTTTGTTGATGCTCATGTCTAGCACATTTGACATTCCTGGAGAGTGTTTCACAAAGACTATGGTCGACTTTAAGTTGGGCTTAACTATGGCAGGCCGTTCATGCCACTATTTTCTCTCATCATTTACTGGCATTGGTTTCTCAAGTGGCGTACCAATCGTGGTCACAAATCTACAGAATTTACATTTTGTGATAGTTCATTATTGAAGGAAAAAGTATTATCTGAACATCATAATTGAGAGACCAATGGTGAGACCAACTAGTGGCATGAACAGCCTGACATAGTTAAGTCCAACTTAAAGTTGATCTTAGTTTTTGTGAAACACTCCCCTTGTTAATCATTATTATTAGAGTGGACCTGAGTCGAGTGTGGCAAATCTAGAACAATGTCCATCTCGTAATCACTATCTCTAAGTTTTTTGTTAGCAACCACTTCTGGAAGTTCCCCTTTTACAGAAACTCCCATGGGACAATTAATCACCAGACAACTAGCCCCTATTAAGATAATGACACTCTGTAGTTGGGTAGTTGTCCTGGGGGTGTTTCACAAAGATCCTAACTCTTATTTAACTCTTAAGTTGGGATCAACAGTTATGGAAAGCCGTTAGCATCTTCGAAAATATTTTGTAATAGTTATTTTAAAAGGCATAAAACGTTGATTCAAAATATTCATACTTTCTATTATCAAGGAGATTTCATGTTCTTGATGTAGATTTAATGAAAAGTCTAAAATACTTGGATTATGCTTTTGAATATGTTTTGTTTTAAGGCTACAAATGGCTCTCCATAATGTTTAAGTCCAACTTAAAGCTAAGTTCAACTTTGGTTCTTTGTGAAACACCCCCAGGGATAGTTGAAGGTCAATCACATAGCAAAGAAGCAATTTCAGTAGAGTCAGTGGTCGATGGGTTAAAATGATTCATTTCATCCATTCAGTTTAATTTTGATGATTATTCCTTATCATAGTGGCATGGAAGGGTAAACATATTTTAATACTGAATTTTCTAATATTTTTGTCTGTTTCTGTCGTGATTCTCCAGATGAAGTGTGCGTATGAAGTCTACGAGTTGAAAAAAGACCAATACCTACAGAATCCAGAGAGTCTAGGCAGCGTGTGGGAACATCAACTATACATGGCATCAGATGTGAGCAGATCTTCAACATTCCTTGATCTTTATGTTCATTCTTTTGTTAATTGAGAAAAATACTTTGTCTCACGAAGCAGGCATGACTATACTGATGAAGTACAATTTGTTTAACTCTTTGTTTGCTTTGTTCGCCGATTTGCACGGACGTAGGCGTGCCAACTTCGCATTTTTGCACAGATGTATACGAGTCAATTAGACATTCATAATACCGCTCGCAGTGTGTAGCCACGCGTTGCGTTTACTATTGTTTACATTGTATACATCGCACACTTTCCGGTAAACTGTTTTTCTTCATAGTGTTACATTCGAAATTACCGTGTATTTAGCGGTTTTCTTTGGATTTTTTTTACTGATGTTACGATGGCACCTGCTGGAAAACGTCAACGTGTGTTTAGTGTAGAGGAGGCTCGAGATCTTGTTACTATGGAAGCATGGAGCATGGACTCTGATTCCGACGAATCGAGCAGTGACGAAGACTCTAGTGATAAAAGTGTTCCCTGAGAGTAGACTGATAGAATAAGAATGAATAAAAATTAATGAAAGAGCTAGAGATGACAGCAAGAAAGAGAGTAGACTGATAGAATAAGAATGAATAAAAAAAATGAAAGAAGGAGATAGAGATGACAGCAAGAAAGAGAGTAGACAGTGATAGAATAAGAATGAATAAAAATAATGAAAGAAAGAGATAGAGATGACAGCAAGAAAGAGAGTAGACTGATAGAATAAGAATGAATAAAAATTAATGAAAGAGCTAGAGATGACAGCAAGAAAGAGAGTAGACAGTGATAGAATAAGAATGAATAAAACTAATGAAAGAAAGATGTATCCTGTCTTGCCGTCATCTTTATATCTTTCTTTTATTATCTTTATTCATTCTTATGCTATCAGTGTTTACTCTCTTTCTTTCCGTCATCTCTATCTTATTATTATTATCATTTTCCTATCTATATGTACCCTATGTCTTGCCGTCATCTGTATATCTTTTTCTTATTATCTTTATTCATTATTATGCTATGAGTGTAATACTCTCTTTCTTGCCGTCATCTCTATCTCATTATTATTATCATTTTCCTATCTATATGTACCCTATGTCTTGCCGTCATCTCTATATCTTTCTCTTATTATCTTTATTCATTCTTATGCTATCAGTGTTTACTCTCTTTCTTTCCGTCATCTCTATCTTATTATTATTATCATTTTCCTATCTATAATTATGTACCCTATGTCTTGCCGTCATCTCTATATCTTTCTCTTATTATCTTTATTCATTCTTATGCTATCAGTGTTTACTCTCTTTCTTGCCGTCATCTCTATCTTATTATTATTATCATTTTCCTATCTATATGTACCCTATGTCTTGCCGTCATCTGTATATCTTTCTCTTATTATCTTTATTCATTCTTATGCTATCAGTGTTTACTCTCTTTCTTGCCGTCATCTCTATCTTATTATTATTATTATTTTCCTATCAATATGTATCCTATGTCTTGCCGTCATCTCTATATATTTCTCTTATTATCTTTATTCATTCTTGTGCTATCAGTGTTTACTCTCTTTCTTTCCGTCATCTCTATCTTTTTATTATTATCATTTTCCTATCTATATGTACCCTATGTCTTGCCGTCATCTCTATATCTTTCTCTTATTATCTTTATTCATTCTTATGCTATCAGTGTTTACTCTCTTTCTTTCCGTCATCTCTATCTTATTATTATTATCATTTTCCTATCTATATGTACCCTATGTCTTGCCGTCATCTCTATATCTTTCTCTTATTATCTTTATTCATTCTTATGCTATCAGTGTTTACTCTCTTTCTTTCCGTCATCTCTATCTCATTATTATTGTTATTTTCGTATCAATATGTATCCTGTCTTGCCGTCATCTTTATCTCTTTCTCTTATAATCTTTATTCACAGTAAAGTCCTTTCATTTCATATCACTATTTCTCTCTCATAATGTCTCTCACGTCCGTTCTCCATATTTTATTCATTGCATACTCCACTCGTCAATCATTTCTGATAATAAGCTCTCTCACAATAAAGTAAATGGAAAACAATGCAATATAGTTTATATTTTAAGATTGATTCATTCTTTCTTTGTATATCTATGGCTGTGATAAATATACTTGAAATCAATTTTATTGAGGGGTAAAGAAGGTGAGAGAACAGATGCGGTGAACATTCATAATGAGACATTTCAATAAGATGCTGATTATGTCATGTATATCACATATAATATATTATGCCTATACCATTTTTACATGCTCATACCAGTGGGCAAAATCAATAACATTCTCTTATTTCTTATTGACTTATCATGGCACAACAAAGAAAAACATCCCCACGACGTCCCTTTTCATGCCCCGCTAAACCGGACATTGACAATAACCTGGGGTAATAGGGATTTCAATGGGCAGATTAGCCCATTGTCAAGGGTGGCTGAGCGGGGTACTTTCAAGTCTCTCCCTATTGAACTTCTTTTCTTCAACAACCTAAATACTAACCTTCTGAATTGTTAGAATACTTGAGCAAGGTATGTAAAGAAAGGTAAGAAGTCCACCTTTCTAATAGATTCGATTTGAAGATGTCTTATCATTGCTAAATAAGAAATTCTAGAGGGATAAAAAACTGCCGTAAATAAGAAAAATTAAACATTATATAATTATGATTATTATAAAAATGATAATTCAAAATATAACAAATGACGGTTCATCGAAAAGCACGTTTTCCGGTCTACAACTTTGCTGCACAATATTTTTCATCATGATCATCCAGTGAAGAGTTATAGCCTCTTGATTCAGCAGAGTCAATAAAGATTCCCTCGAAATGTGTGACCCTAAAAGAATGTGGCACAGGGGTTTTTTTAAGTGGCGCATAAAGAGTTAAAGGGATTGGGTAACTTTGTCTCAGATTCAAAAACAAAATCCTGGATTTAGCTCATGCTGCAATGATAATTATAAACTTTTATTAGGTCAGTCAGGAACCCCATGACTTTTACAAGCCTATCGCCTGTCTGATTATCAAGATATTTATGATTGGAAAATCGAAACATAAATGTGTGTTTTCCTAACTGTTTTCATAACACTACAGTCTATTGGGGAATACGAGTATGGTAAAACCTGCCGCTCAAAGATTTTTAATTTTTTGAGGCACTTCTTGATCATTTTGAAGTGCAATTTGTTTAGGGCTTCAATATTACACCATATCACAGACACTGATAACAAGTAGGGCCATGCATCTCAGATTTAACATTGTTAAACGAGGCCTCATAGTATGCCATGAGGCTGCATGCACGCTACCGTTATAGTGCTTTGTACATGAAAGCTAACCATTGATTCACTGCCATGTGCGTGCAAGGGCACATTCGTAATAGCAGTTATTGTTCATGCTTATTGGACTGTGCTATGTGTTTCTCACGCGTTATTCATAGAACCATCGCGTAAATCAGATTATCTCCAAAACAACCTGGCACGGGGGGATTTGGGGCTTGGCACAATGGGGATTAGCCTCGTGGCATGATGAGAGTTAAATAAAGTAGTCACTTTTCATGAGCTAATGAATGACAAAGTAGGTAAGTTTGATAGACTGTTCTCATTTCTGGCTTTCTAGCTACATGTATAATGAGAGGCCATCACTTGGCTGTCAGCTTAGTTTTGTTGGACAACCCATAGACTAGGAAGGTGAAATTGACAGCTTTATTGCTGAAATTTAGCATTTTGACTTTATAATTGTTACACATAACAGTGAAAAAAAAGACATTTTGTCACAAGCATAGTCCTATTAATCATACATAAAAGGTAAATCAGATTCCTTCTATAAAGGTTATTAAGGCCTGTCTGCACTACTTCAACCAGGAGAGATTAGACCACCCAGCATGGTCACTGACTGGTGGTTATCTCATCAACTCAGCTCTCGATTAACATAAGAAAAAGAGGATTATGGGGGACCAACATGCACCGCTTAGGCATTGTTTTCGATATAGAGAGAGCAAATAGTGCAGTCGTGTCAATCATTTGTCAATCTCGTTAATACATCTTTATGGAATCAATAATACATCTTTATGAAATCAAGCACATATTGTGCTGGACATCTCTATGTCCTTTACTTGATGGGACAATTTCTATCAGTTATATGTAAAAACCTGCATGCTAGAAAATGTTATAAAAACTGTCTTTTTGTTCCTGTGTGAAATCACCTGTATTAACATTTGCATGATCATATCTTTTGTATTTGCAGGATGACTACAATCCAGAAATCACATTTTTAGAAGAAGAGAGCTGAGGTTGGGCCCACTGGTGTAAAGTACTGTCTACCTTTCCCTGCCCCGCACAGCCCCTTTCCCCATCTCGCTCCGTCTCTCTGGTTCCTGTCTGTATGTGTGAAGCGCCCTCGACATAGGTCCATCACCAGGCTGAGGCATGATCTCACCAAGGACAATGCATTGGAGCGGCTTCACAGTATGGTGTCGGCCACTAGTCTAGAAAGGCCTCCTGAATCTAAAAGCTTTTCTCAGAGAAGTCCAGTACCTGCACAGACTGTTTCCATATCTGTAAATGTTGCATGCACAGCTTCGATGACCGCTACATGATCAGGTTCTTCTTGTTGTACAACATCAAGCTGTTTGTCGATGACCGCTACATGATCAGGTTCTTCTTGTTGTACAACATCAAGCCTTTTTTTGATGACCGCTACATGATCTTGTTGTACAACATCAAGCTGTTATGTCGACGACCGCTAAATGATCAGGTTCTTCTTGGTGTACAACATCAAGCTGTTTTGGACAGAACCGCTATTGTGTTATGGGCTGTGCAAGAGACTATTGCATTTACAGTACATTTACAGCTTGGACTTGCTTATCAAGCTATCCTTTGGAATGAGCAGACCATGGATGAATGGAACATACAAGTACAAGTTTTCACATACTACATGTACAGAGCTACCTGGAAAACTCAAAAGCTCGTTCTCACTTTCAGTCCTCTTCGATGTGAGCGATGTCGAGAGAGGGACTTTATGATGGAGTACCACCCGCACTGAGTGGATACCCGTTCTTTTCTTTTCACATTTATTTTGTTCTCACTTCATGCAGACTTTGACAAATGTACAGTAAACGAGGTAATTTGTGATCAATTTAACTGTAACACTTGTACAGTGTAAGTTGTACTGAACAATGAGGTGGTGTGTCATCATAAGCATTAAATTTATGTCTGCTCTAATGTATTGTAACCTGGGCCCCGTTTCACAAAACTTGTCATCAGTGACTAATGACAGTCTTTGTTATAAGCCACTGAAATCCTTGCTTCTGATTGGTTATCAGCAGATTTGTCACTGATTTTTGTCATTTGTCATTGAAAAAAGGCTTTGTGAAACGGGTCCCAGAAGTAAATCCTCTCAACTAATTGTAAAACGTGCTTAAATAAAAATGTGAACTTGACCTCCCTAGATTGTGTACATAAGACTTGATGATGTATCTATTTCTTATAACAAAGGCAATACAGATAATGATCATTGGCTGATGCATTCAACTGCATAGTTCAGGTGTGAGGTAATATGCAGTGTTTTTTTTTATTTTTACGCTGCATGTTCTTGTCATGACAGGATCCAGTCTGTGATATAACGGAAGAGTTTTATGCCTTATCTAAAAGATTTCTAGAGAAGGAGTCTTATGAATGATTTTTATTCATTTTATGGTTTTATTTGTTTGGTTTATAAAGAATTGCCAGCCGCTCAGGGTGATACAGTCACTCTACAAGGTAATAACATATTTACATATTCATTTTACATGATGTAACAGATTGTCAGTAATATTTGAGCAGAAACAAATACATGATAATTCATGTCCTTCATTTGGGTGTAATAATAATAATAGTTCGTCCTTATATAGCGCATTTCAGGACCGCAGGCCCTCTCAATGCACTTTTACAGATATATATTATTACCCCGGTCATCGGATTCATGCTTACCCGCACACAAGGTATGCACCTTTTCCACTCCCTGGGGAGTATTCCAGCCAGTCGCCATTTTACAAGCGCCATTGCTAATCAAACCACATTAGCTTTCGCATCCTACCGGGTACCCATTTAACACCTGGGTGGAGAGTGGCAAATGTAGATCAATGTCTTGCCAAAGGACATTAGTGCCGCGGAGGGAGATGAAAAGAAAGAAGGAGTTTCATATTGTTTTAATCTTGTGTATGAACATGCTGCTAGGTATGAACACTTATTTCAGAGTATCTCATTATGTTTGTTTGTGTTTTGTTATTGCTGATATATTTTTTTTTTAGGAACTATCAGATTATGTAATATCTTTATTTCCAAACGCTGAGACACAGTGACCTGTATTCAGCCATAACAAATGATAGAAACAACAAAGTAATTTGGGACTGTATATTTTTTTTCTTCACTACAACTGAGAAATTGCACAACTGGAACTTCTAGAGATTGTTTTCATTTCTAACTTTTAAATAGTCTGATCTTAATCCAAGCGACAAACAGTTTTTGATTAAATGTACCCCCCCTTTTTTTTAAAATAGAAAGTTGTTTAATTAACCTTTCTAGACTTTGTTCATATTGTTCCTTCATTTGTATTCACTGTGGACTAAACTGAACAGAAAAAAGGACAATCAATTCCTGTCTTTTTTTTTCTCCATATTTTTTCATTAATTAAAACCCTTGTTATTGTCAAATAATTATGTAAATAATACTTCATATACATGTACATGTACTACAAATGTTCATAACTACTAAAGACAGAAGATTGAATCTCCATAACGATTATATTACACTTGTTGAAATAAAACCATGTGGGAAGTACCATTTGTATTTGGAATATATGAATTGAATTGAAAAGTGTCTAGCATGGTATGAAAAGGTCATGGTAATTCAATTATTTTTTTAAAGTTTGAAAAGTTATGGCAGTAAGATATCTGGAGATGGAAGAATCGGGATCCCATTTGTATATTGCTACTCAGAATACCATAAGCAAATGTTTTGTATTCTTCACCTGTATTTGATCAAGCAGAATTGTGAAATGTGACATTCAATTTTTTATATTTACAGTACAAGGTAACCAATAAAACTTACATGTATTTGGATAAAGCTGTGCACCACAAGTTGTTGACACGTCAAGTTTCAATCAGTCAGAACTACAGCTTTAAGTGTTTTCAGAAACAATATTGATTGTTCTTCATGGTTGACAAAACAATGTGATTTCTATGAGCTCCGATACCATGAAATGGCTCTTTACATAGTAGTAGTTATGTAGTAGTAGTACATATATTTTCTTTTCACTGAGGTTGATCAAAAAAAGTTCAGCGCAACGTATTTGTATGATGCTACAGTTTGCAAATGAAAACAATGCCTTCAAAAGCACACCACTAAGAACCAGGGTAAGAAGAAATGGTTGGAATAAGAGGTAATACTTTGGAGGTTATTACCCTCAACATCCTTGTTATATTAAATATTATTCTATGTTGTAATGATATCTGAAAGCTTAGAGATGGTATTTCGTATAAAGCACTATATGAATACAGATTATTATAACCATTTCACATGCAGCTTTAGAAGTCATCCTTTTTCATAGAAACACATTGTTTGAAGATCATACTGAATCATTGCAGATACATGTACTTATAATAATGCATTTGTAAAAATAGGAAAACAATTAAAATAGTTATGTTTTAGTAAATATATATTTGACTCCCTGTCTCATGAAGGAACCTTTCCATTATACGTTTTAGAAGCACAAACTATAATTTTTGTTTGACGATATGACCTTGTTATTGCAACTATTGGAGAGTACCGGTAGTTTGAAAATGAGACGTAGTACAATGAAAGGATGAAACCATACAAACCTTATAACTCTGCATCCAGTTAAGTTGGGTTTACATTGTATTGCTATTACTTTTATGCTGTAGAATTCAAAGAAACAATCTTTTATTTTCCATTGTACTCAGTAGGTCTTTTGTTAATAGAAGTATCAGAAGAGTTTATTCTCTGTTTGTTATATTTTATTGGGAAGTACATCATGTTGCCATTTGTGTACACAATAAACCGAGGGGAGGAGTGCGCTGGTAATGGGAACAGTGTTGACTATTTCATGTTTGTTGATCTATTGTAAGGATATTAAGCAGATACATCACACACATAATATATGCACAGGGAAAGAATATATCTCTCTTTTGTATTTTTTTCTCTTTTTGCTAACCGATAATAATTCTTGTGAAGCATATCCCCTTTTCTATGTCTCCTTCTTTTGCTAGACTCTGTGATAACTGTACCAAAATGGAGCTTGTTATGATGCTTGGTCAAAGAGAAAACCTCTGAACAGTAAAATGTACGTCATTTTAATGTATTTGTAGCTTTGGAAAGTATCTGTTTAGTGATCACTTGTTTCGATCAACAAATTGCCAGAATTAAAACGATTGCACAAAACTCCATAAGCACAATGTTTTGCAAGAATTGTCAAGTTCAGAAAAAAATGAGTCATATTTTTTGTGTTCAAATGCTCTGCCTCTAAGGCATCATGCTTTTACATGTTGTAAGTCACTTGTATTTTGGAATTGATTTCTTGTGTTTTATAAAATGTGGCTTTACTTTTCATCAGAAACATTTGGTGCGAGATGTGGTGATAAGGAGTCATTGAAGGACGGGTTAATGATATGTAAATTGATTTACAGTGTACATGTACTTGTATGTCCCTAACACGTACCAATAGTGAATTTCATTTGTTGAAGAGAGATATTGTGAGTCTGTAAGGTTACTATCTTTTGCAGATAAACTAGACAATATCCTGCAGTCAATTATGCCTTATTGATGCAAGACAAGGGTTCCCTCTCACAAACCTTGGCTGGTTTCAGCTATATGATTATTATGGGCATCATTGTAATGTATTATGAATGATGAGAAGGTATCCGGCAGTAAGAAGTAATTTTTCAAGTGACTGGAAATAGAGTAGAACTCTTATTTTCAATCATGATGATGTTACATATTTTTATGTTGTTAATTGTTTGTTTATGATAATGTAATTCTAATTGTTTATTCCAGTGGGAATGAATATGCTTTTCATTTTCATTCGAGTTGAGGAGCTATGAATCGTGTATAACTGAGAATGAGAAATAAAAACTGAAAGAAAATGCACTGAGTACCTTTTATGTGTATGTCTTTACATTTTAATATAATATACTGGTATAGAAGGTCGTATTCATGGAAAGAAGAAGAGGGGAAGACCTCGTAAAGGCTTTCTAGATGATTTAATCACAGAATGTGGAGCAACAGGATATGAACCGCTGAAACGGATGGCTCAAGACCAAAGAACTTGGAGAGACACTTGATATAAAATTTTGATTGGGTCACTGAACCTGTCATAAACTGACAGATCACTATTGATGATACTGGTATATTATCTGCATTGTTGATATTGATTTGTCGAACATGTTAGGGAGGGAGTGAAGATAGGTGGGTGGGGTGGTAGGGACACAAACAGGGAGGAGAATGAGCACCTAGTACCTTTTTTAATTGTCATTATTAATGTAATGTACTGGTCAGCTTCCAATAATTTGGCATTGGTTGGTTCAATATGATATCATTTATGGTTTGGAGGAGGTTGTGATGAGGAAGGGAGGGAGAAAAGAATGGAAGAGATATGTCTTTAAAGGTAAAGACCAGTATTGGAAACGCCCCAATTTCAAAAAATGAAATGGAAGCTCTCATTACTAATCATGTGAAAGAATATGTTTTGACTAATACATGATGATAAAAAATTTGCCGGGAAACCGCCTACTAATTCATATATTTGGTAACTTTGTTTCTCTCATGGTCTGTGAGAGATATAGGGTAGTCCCATATACGTCTTTCTGTGTATAGTGCTTGTAACTTTACGAAGAATGGGCCAAATTTCTTATCATTTTGATGATTCCAGAACCTTGCAGATGCTAGATGCTAGATGATCAACCTTTTCTGATCGATTCCACAACGTTTCTTTCACAATGCAATCGCATGACCATAACTGGTCTTTACCTTTAACCGAAAAGCATACAAAAAAATAAACACTGGCATACAAACCAAAAGCTAGGCCAACAAAGCTACCAGTAGTCATCTTAGTGTTGGTTTCCATGTATACAAAAAAAGTAATAGAAGACAAGAAAAGTAACTTTAAAGTTAATTGAATGTTTTCAGTCTTATTTATGTACATCCTGATCATTAAATTGCAATAGGTGATTTTACAAAAAAATGATCGGCAGTTCCGAGATCAAGTTCTTTTGAAATGAAATTACATGTACTATTGAAAAAGCCTTTAATTTCGAATTTCTTGTTCCTAAATGTATATAACTCACCAATTGGGCTTATAAAATGGCAATCTAGCTACAAGGCAGTCCGCAAAGGGCCCCCCCCCCATCCCCCATGCAAATCAAAGTGTTTTCCTGACATATGACATGATTTATTGGAAGGAGAATCTCAGAAGTAACAGAGCACATTATTATCTTTTTTTATATTTCCTTTTGCCGGGTCTTTAAACATTTTTGTTATGCTGCCTTGTGTAACATCTCGTCCTTCCTGTCCTAATTGAATATACACCTTTCCAAACTGGTAGGTTGTAATAACAATTCTTTGAAAATAGACAGGATGTGCGTTGGTAAAATGCTGAATTTAAGTAAAATTACAGAGGAGCGCCCCCCCCCCCCAAGACCCCCACAAGACCTTGCGTATACTGCCGGAGCACAACCAATTAACCAGTATATGGATATAGAGAAGCTCAACCTTATAACCTGCCATGTAATATGCGATAACGATTTCATTTTTATTTTTTTACTTCAAGATACCGTATAAAAAGCTAAAGGAGGGAAATCTTCGAAATATTCAAACGTTTTGATATGTAAAAGCGGCCAGCATACATACTTTGGAGATGCCTAAAGCGAAGTGAGTGATTATTTTATGATGTCTTGAAGTCAAATGTAAGGATTTTGCCGATTTTGCTATTCATTTGTTGCTCGATATATCTTTGCTACGATTTTCTGGGAATTAGTTTTTTAGGCTTTCTATAAGAGTCCCATATATCGACATTTGTGTACCACACAAGAGATTGAGAACAGTTTTTATGATCATGAATGTGTGAGTTGAATTCTTGTCGTTTACGAAAATAAGTTATTTACTAACCTCTAAGTGTAACTGTGTAAGCATATTCAATATTGCTGGGGTGTAAATTTGTCTTTACCATATTTTCTTTCTTCAATTCTTGCTTCTAAGTTCTTGCCCTGTTTTCTTTCCTGTTTATTTCCCCCTTTTTGGCTAGAACATGTTTGAACATGATGAAGTCAATGAATCTGCATGGTAGAGTCTAATTACTCTCATTAAAAATGTGGGCATGAATGCAGTGATCCTGATGAAAAGAGAAAATTGAAAAAGAAGGAGAAGGTTAACATGATTGATTAAGAAAGAATTTAGAAAAATGAACAAGAATAATAACATAATAACAAAAACAAAGAAAGAAGGAAAGGTTGGAGAATTAAAATAAGAAGAAGGAGAAACAGAAGAGGGATGTGATCTCCTTGTAAAACGAGACACGACGGAGGAAAATCAGCAGGAGTTTCTTCAGTTATTCTACATGAATTTGAGCTATGAATCGGCTAGAAATTACAGAACCGAATTACGGTCATTTATGGTCATAGTTAGACCGAAAGCTTCAGTCTCTATAATCGTCGGTTGTTCCACTGAGACTACGTCTGGCTCCACTAGACCTCCGGTTATAGAGACTGAACGACTGCCTATGCCAGCCTGTGTTGAACTTATTCCGCTAGATTTTAGCCGCTAGGCCCCTCCCACAAACTTGCCACGGCCGTATTGTTATGCCCCCAAAATCCCCCAAAATGTCATTTTACCTCGTTCATTTCCAATTTTAAATTAGGCCTAGGCTATAATACATCGGTTCCACTTACTAACTTCATTGATATAATCCGTTTAATGGTCCCTTTTAAGGAAATTATCGGTCAAAATCGACATCCATGTTGAAAATCTTGCAAGCCGTGTTAAACTCTCGCTGCCGTCAATCTCATCCTTTCTAGTCTACACCGAAGGCAAAATGATTATGAAGGAAAAACTGTGATAACGCCATTACGAACGTGTAGATGGCGCACAGTTTTTCCTTCATAATCATTTTGCCTTCGGCGTAGACTAGAAGGGATGAGATTGACGGCAGCGAGAGTTAAACACGGCTTGCAAGATTTTCAACATGGATGTCGATTTTGACCGATAATTTCCTTAAAAGGGACCATTAAACGGATTATATCAATGAAGTTAGTAAGTGGAACCGATGTATTATAGCCTAGGCCTAATTTAAAATTGGAAATGAACGAGGTAAAATGACATTTTGGGGGATTTTGGGGCATAACAATACGGCCGTGGCAAGTTTGTGGGAGGGGCCTAGCGGCTAAAATCTAGCGGAATAAGTTCAACACAGGCTGGCATAGGCAGTCGTTCAGTCTCTATAACCGGAGGTCTAGTGGAGCCAGACGTAGTCTCAGTGGAACAACCGACGATTATAGAGACTGAAGCTTTCGGTCTAGGTCATAGTATGATTTTGGAGCATTGTTTTCAAAAGTAAGTATTTCAACACTAATTTTTCTCCCATTTGTTTTGTACACGTGTCACGCATGGGAAAAGTCAATACTTCTCAGGACGTCAGCAGATATGAGGTCCATCCTGTTTACGATTAGATTGTAGGAGTGAGTTTAAGGGATGTAATGATCAGTGTCAGAAAGTAAGTTTAATGTAATTACTCTTTCTATACGGTTGGACTTCATGCATTGTAGGAGTGAGTTTAAGGGACGTAATGATCAGTGTCAGAAAGTGAGTTTAATGTAATTACTCCTTCTATTCTCATTCATCTTTTACCAACAGAGCAAAGAAGAGTAAGACCAAACGTCGCCATGAAAGCAGTAGCAGTAGTAGCTATGACGACTCCAGTGACTCGTACTCTAGCTCAGCCAGTGATTCAGGTAATTCAGAGGCTTCTGGCATTGTCAATTTATGTTGTCGATGTAAACATTTGTTTTTCACCAATATGAATTTGTAAATCCTTGTGAGAGAGTCATATAGGGGAAAATGATCACCTCATCACAATTGTGAAAAGAAGACAGCTTCTTTAAAAAATGTCAGTGTGTACAATTATATAAGTTGTGTATTACATTGCTTTGTGAAGTTTGTGTTGCCAGCATTGAAATCAAATATGAAATGATCTCTTAATGGTGTTTACTCACTTTAATTGATTTTGTGTCATAGTGTCTAATCAGAATTTTCTTGATTCTGATTTTTGGGGGTCATTTTATTTAATCTTATCTGCTTATTGTCATCCTTTTTTTTACCAACAGAGGATGATTACAAAGTAAGAAAGAAACAGAAGGCTGATGCTCCTTCCAAAAAGCAACAGAAGAAAATCAAGATAAAGGCAGAGAAAGAAAAGAAGAAAAAGACTAAAAGTAAGTTCCGATTCTACTGAAGCTCCAATTGAGGATTGGCTTATGAAGTTTACATGTACATTATTGTCTTGTTTAAATCCCCACTGCACTACTTGTAGCTACTTGCTCCCTCTCTGTAGAAAACAATGCCTTATCGGTGACCATTGGTCCCCCATGATCCACTTTTTCTTATGTTATTTGAGAGCTGAGTTGATGAGATAACCACCTGTCAGTGACCAGCAGGGTGGTCTAATTTTTCCTGGCCAAACTAGTGCAGATGGGCTTTATATGTTATCATGTTTATAAACTTTAATATTTTTTAACAGTTGATTCATCGTACAGAATCTTCATATCTTCTTCCTATTAAAGAGTGGAACACAATCATTCATTAGCTTTACACAGGCTGAAAGTGTAAGAATTCAGAAGAATGTTAACAAACCAATTTCAGACTAAAAATATGCCATATTCCCTGAGTAATTCTGTTACCAGTAGCCATTTGATTATTGAAAAGTAATGGTACTTGACAGAATTTCATTCTGTAGCAAATGTATCACCTGACCCTAATCCTATGGTACATCTCACTTTGTTTGGACGTAAAGAAACATATCAACAGTAACTTGTCTGTATTTGTTCTAGGCGCTCCCAGCACAAGATTCACTGGTTGGGGGGGGGGGGGGGAACTCATTGCTGTTAAACATTCTGTATCATTGATCAGAATGATTTATTTAAATTCCAATCAATATAATGCTAATCCATAAATTACATGCAAAGTATTCTATTCTGTCATCACCTATCAGCAATGCGGAGTAGACTTGCCATTTGACCTTACTAATTTTCGTTTTACACTCTCCTCTACATTCTCTCTCTCTCTCTCTCTCTCTCTCTTTCTCTCATGTTCAGATAAAATAACAAAGGATGATTACTACAGCAAGAGTAAAGAATTCAGAGTTTGGCTGATGGAAGAGGTAATTTGCATTTTTTAAAATTCATCCTCGCTTGAGGTTTGTACTGCCAACTGTATGTACATATCTTAAATGATGTTCATTTGGGCCAGGCAAGATTACTGCATTGATATTAATTTTCTTTAAGACAGGATGCACATTAAATGATAGTACAATAATGGAATATGATGACTTTTATATGTATGAGAATTGTAACCTTTAAAGAGAAGATTGAGTTCTGGGAAGAGGTGAGCATTATCATTTTATTATGCAAGTGTGGAAGAACATTAATCATTCTTAATATGGCATGTACCGGTAACATAAAAATTGGGACATATTTTTATGCCACATGTTGTGTAGTCCCATATACATGTACATCTTTCTCTGTACAGTGCTTGTAACTTTACCAAGACTTGGTCAAATTTCTTATGTTGATAATTCTACAACCTTGCAGTACACACCAAATATATGCTAGATGATCAACCTTTTCTGATCGATTCCGCACCGTTTCTTTCACATGAACAGAACTTGACTTTATTTTACTTCAAGTAATGGACATTAACAGGTGGTCCATTTTTTAATGATTTTGCAAGTCATCTTGTAGTTTTGACATAAAAACATACCCTATCAATAGAGATACAACATATACAAATGTAGCACAGTAAAATGATTATTCAATTTTAGTCAATCATGATTTCTAGTTTCATATTTTTGATCAACAGAAAAACAAACCACTGGATGAACTTACATCCAAGAAGGCAAAAGAGTATTTCAAGAAGTTTGTGAAAAAATGGAACTCTGGCAAACTACTGAAGGTGAGCGAAGTTTGATTTTTAGGCAATGTTTCTGAAAGCATGTTAGTTTTTTTTTTTTAAAGCTAAAAATCTTGTTCTTGAAGAAGAAACTGTTAAATTTTTAAGTTTTCCATTATATGAAGCACCGAATGTTTTATGTGCCCATAGTGTGGATTGTTCATAAAAAGTCAAACATAGTCTCTTAAATTTCTCTTTCTATCCTTTTCTTGCTTTCTTCCTCTCAATATTTCTCTTCCCTGTCCCTTTCCCCCTTCTTTCTTTCTTTATACATGTATGTACTTGTTAAACGTTTATTTCATCTGCATTTTTTTACACAGAAATTTTACAAGGGCATTGACTTTGCTGATGAGAAATCTTCACTGACAAACTACAAATGGAAGGTAGGAACTTGCATTGAATATTTTTCAAAAGATTCACTGTAAGAAAATGTGTGCAAATTTAGATATGGGGCACTTGATAGGAGAAGTGTAGCTGTTTTTAGCTGTCATTAACTCTTTAAATGCCAGACAAATATTAAACCTCCCTGTACCACATTGTATTTATCATGGGATAGATAATAATAATAATAGTAATAACAACAACAACAATAAAAACAACAGCAACAACAACAACAACAATAACAAATACAAAAAATAACGAGGCTTCAAGATGATTAAATTGTTTCCATTGGAGAATTGATCTTTACCAATGTTAAAAGGGTTGCCATTGAGCTAATCAAGTCATAGCGTTGCACAAACAGTCCTTCTCGAGATGTTTTCTGGACCAAATATCACGCTTATTGCAACTATGGGCTAGTGAAGACGCAAATTAACTGGTTAATTTGCGATCTGGATAGTTCAAATAGCTGGTTATTTGGTAAACTCGAGCTGTTGAAGACAGGCCTAGTGTTACCGGAGCTTGTGTCAAATCAACAATGGTGCCCAAGGAGGTCAGTTGAGGTGACCTACATTTTGGGGTCAAAGAATATGTCCAAGTGGATGGGGTATTGAGGCTAAAAGCCATCGGGGGTGTTTCACTTACATGTAGATCCTAAGTCAAACTTAAATCTAAGTTGGTCTTAAAAGTTACGGAGAGCCATTTGCAGACTTAAAATGTAAAGATTCAATTATTTTAGACTTTTTATAAATTCCACATCCAGAACATGAAATCTCCTTGATAATAACAAATATAAATGATTTAAATAAACATTTTCTGCCTTTAAAAATAACTTTTACAAAATATTTTCAAAGACTCTAACAGCTTTCCATAAGTCCAAATTAGAGATAAGTTCAACTTAGGATCTTTGTGAAAGACCCCCATGGACTTGTGATTCTTTACAATATTTGTTTTATCACAGTTTTCAGGTAAACGGCACCCGTCCCTGTCACGTGATCTGGATGGTAGCATCAGCATGTCGCCCTTCAAGACTCCGCAGCCGACAAAGTTCTCTACGTTTGGGAAGACCGCCCACAAGGATGCTGCAGGCAGCAAAAGCGTTCCTCCCGACGCAAAGTTCATTGGCCCCAGCAGACCGGTGAGATTTAGAGTCATTTTCTTTTTTGTGATGATTATCTTTTGTGTTTCTATAAACTACATGTAGATGTATCCCTCTGTTTATCCCATTTTCTCTCTCTCTCTCTCTCTCTCTCTCCCTCACCCTCTTTCTCCCTCTCTCCCTCTCTCTCCCTCTCTCTCTCCCCCTCTCTCTCTCTCTCTCTCTCTATCGCTCCTTCTCCCTCTCCCCCTCTCTCTCTCTCTCTCTCTGTCGCTCCTTCTCTCTCTCTCTCTCTCTCCCTCCCTCCCTCCCTCCCTCCCTCCCTCTCTCTATGCTTCTCTAGATTAGCCTTTCATTGTCTTTGTAGTCATTGCGCTCTCTTTTCTCTAACTTCATGTAGGTTATCTCTTACTCCTTGTCTCCTATATTATCTCATTCTCCTTTTCTTCCCTCGCTCTTTTTCTGACCATCTTTCTTTTCCCCTTCTCTCTCTTCTTCTTTCTTTTTGTTTCTCTCTTTTTTTGTTGGATACATTGATTTGTATTTCATCAGGTTGTGGGTTTATTTATTTCTATCCATTTCTCCTGTATATCTCATTCTCTCTAGCACTTGCTGTTCATAGTTTTTCTAATGCATGCCAAATATTTGTGTTTTTCAATTTTATAATAATGATGATAACAATTGTATTTATTAAGTGCTCTTTAAAAAATGCAATCACGTTCTGACACTTTTTTGTTGTTCCTTTTATTATTTAAAGTATGAAAGTATACAATTTTGTCTGTTCTATTCGCTCCTTGATTAAAAATACTGCACCATCTTTAATCTTGATATTCTGTAGATCAAAGAGAACTTTATTTTCTCCTGTGGAAGTTTGATTACTTTTTAACAATTCAGTTTTAAACGATGCTTTTAATGAATTTACGAGGAACTATTTGTTGAAGGTAAAGGGATCTTGCATGTAGAATGATTAAAAAAAGTGATACAATTCATGATTTTGTTTTTATTCTGTCAGCCACCAATGTCTCAGGTTGAGATAGAAAACAACAGAGAAACAGAAAGAAAGAGAGTGCAGAAAGAGAGGAAAGAGTTTAACAGCCACAATAAAATGGTACGTCAATGACAATTTAAAAAAAATCATAGACTGTTTGATAATAATAATAATAGCTCACATTTATAATGCGCCTAAAACTTTGTTTCTAGGCGCAGCACATATTATTACTCTGGTCATTGGATTCAGGCTTACCCGCAACACAATGTATGCACATTTCCCACTCCCTTGGGAGCATTCCAGCCAGTCGCCATTTTACAAGCGCACTTGCTAATCCAACCACATTAACTTTCGCATCTTACCGGGCACCCATTTAACACCCGGGTGGAGAGTGGCAAACCTAGATTAACGTCATGCCAAAAGACATTAGTGCCGCGGCGGGACTCTAACCCCGTACCATGCGATCTGCAGTTGGGTGACTTATCCACTAGACCACAACACCTCTACATAAAGCAAACAAACAAACCACATAATTCAATTCAATTCAAAGTTAATTTCAAATTTTATTCAACATTCTTCATAAAAACAACATTTAAAACATACAAATACAGAATGGAATGATAACAAAAACAAGATAGTGATAACAAATAACAATGGCAATTTATGAGAGCATTTGGGATAGGCAGAAAGGAGAGATTTCTTATATGAAAGCATACCCCTAAAATGCACACAAACAGGAAAAAAAGAAACAGGAACAAAAGAACAGAACAAACAAAAATATACTAAAACATTCTGTCATGTACAATGAAAGTAAAAAATAACACTAGCAAGAGAGTGTAACAAATTTACTCTACAAAAGTGTCAAAGTTGCCCATGTTATTAATACTAATTATTATACTTATTTAACAGAAATTTTTTATATCCAATTATTACAATACATTGATTTGTGCTTGACATCAGGTGATGGATGAATTGGCCCCCAAGGCTACCGGGCGTGAGGCTAAGATACAGAAGAAAGCCATCCGAGCTCAAGAGAGGAGAGAGAGGGAAGCTAGTCCTGGACTAGGGGTAGAGACCAAGTCTATCATGGGTGGACCGTAAGTGCATTGACCTTAGGGAATTAATCTGTATCATATTTCGGAACAGATCTTGAGTGGTTTAAAGGAACTATTGCTTGATGTGGAAGGAATTTCATCATCGATACACAATTACTGCCATAAACCTGTAAACTCTTCTTCTTTAATTACTTTTTTGTGTGTCAAGCTTGGGATATATCATATTGATTATGCATGATTTTGAATATTTGTTTTTTCTTCTAGTACTACTCTTAGACTGTGTAAGAGATCAGTCTGGCTCTTGTCTATCTTTCAGGGAATTATGAGAATCATGAGAATACTAGTATGTAGGTCCAACACTATCCAATTCATTTCAGCCTTTTAATCTGGAATGCTAAATACATGTATCTGTACGCCCCCCCCCCCCACAAAAAAAAAGAAGAAGCAATTTGCTATAATATTTCGCCAGTTCATTCTCATCGTTACTATCTTCTCTCTTTTGTCATCTCACTTCATTTTACTCTCTTTTATTTCTTTAATACTTTGGATAACCGATTTTCTTAAGAATGGAATCCAGAGCGTCCGTGTGCAGAATGTCGTAAGTGAGCCAATATTGACCAATACAGGCTCACCTCAAGGGTGTGTCCTTTCTGCCATCCTCTTTGTCCTCTACACTAATGACTGCCGTTACCTTTCACAAAATTTTTCTATTCTTAAATATGCCTATGACATTGTGTATCGTAATACCATGTAACACAACAAATTTTCATTGTTAAATGGACAATAATATGAACCTTATGAATCTTATGATTTGATTCTCTCTCCTCTCCCCGGCACAGGAGCTACGATGATGTGATGGAGAGAAGGCGGAGGAAGAAGGAAGACAAGAAGGATAACATGGTGCATAAAGCCAACATGAAACTGACGGAATACCAACTCAAAGAGCAAGCCAAGATGAAGGCTCTTTTTGAGATGGCTAAGGCTCATAAGAACGAGAACTCACTCTGGAAATGAAGCGATAGGAGCAAAGACTCATTAGAAATCATTACAGTTGGTAGAAATCTACTTGCCCCTTTCCTGGGGCAACCAAAATGAGAATGCTCTATCAAATAATTAAGGAAAATGATAGAAGATGAGCAAAGACTCACTGCATCTCATTGATCAGGCACTTGTGCTTGCCGTTCTCCTCGGGCAACTCAAAATTTGAACTGATTGAAAATCCATTTGCCCCTGTTGCCGGGGCAACCTTGAATGAGAGCTTTATGGAAATGAAGCATCCAGACAGAGACTTGATAGAAATTATTCATGCTACTCTGTATCTATTTGCCCTTTCCTGGGGCAACCGAAAATGAGAATTCTCTATGGAATTATGCTGATAGTGAAGCAGAAAGAGCAAAGACTTATTAAATCATCCTGCGGCTACGCATCAACCTGCCATCCTTCTGAGGGCAACCAAAGTGGTAGCAAAGACGCAACATTGATTAATCTTGCTGCTGCTGCTGCTAGATCAGGGCAACCAAAAATTGATTGATGGCCAAGCATGAGATTAGTACTTGCCTTAGTGGGCCGGTGAAGCTATTCAGGTATACATTGCCAAGAATAATAAATGTAATTTTCATATGGGGGAATCGGTGGAAAATGCAGAGCATTACATAAAGCCTATTGGTCATAAAACTGAAGGCTAATCTTGGTGATTGACAACACCTGTTATTTGGGTAAACACTTGAATGATGTTGAATCTCCCATGAGAGCCCAGTACTATATAGGTATGTCTACATAAGCTCAAGATTGCCAAATAGCCCACTATTTCTGATTTGGGAAATTTAGCCCGAAGTTACAAATCGCGTCTTCATCAGCTCGAAACTCGAGATATTTTGCCCAGCGTCCGCGCTAAGTGTAGTCTTTGGGTCGGTGAAGACGCACTGGACAAATTGCGGGATATTTTGCAAACTAGTGAGCTATTTGGTAATCTCGAGCTGGTGAGGACAGGCCTATTTTGTCTGTAACTGCTTGAGCATTGAAAGAAGAGCAGTAGACAGTGGTGTGTTCCTACCAGTCCAGTTTTTAAGTTTCTTGATTTCCCTAGCTGTTACAAATATCATTTTCGACTTTATTGTAGCACATATTCCTCAATGAAAATCAACAACAATTTGTATCTACAGTCAAACCTGCTTTAGCGACCACCTGTATAGAAAGACCACCTGTCTACAAAGACCACGTTTGGTGTTTCCCTTGAAAATGGTTTCTCATTAAAGCATTTACTATAGGAACCTGTACATATGGACAACCTGCAACAGACCAATTTTCTTGTCTCCCTTGAGTGGTCTCCATATACAGGTTTCACTGTACCATGACTTGTATATTCAAGGAAGAGAAGACATTATTTGATAAGCTTCCATTTCATCTCATCTTCTAAACTTTATTCATTTCCATAACATGTTCTTACTATCATTTTGGGTTTTATTCATCCATGTTCACAGACATCTGTGAATGTAAGGTTAAGATGTATGCAATGCATTTCTTTGATTTTTATGCTGCACTTTTAAAGTACCTTGCTATATATTGTTTTCATTTAACAGACAAAAAGTATTATCTAAAAATTAATTAAAATCCAATTTCAATATTTTTAAACTTTGGAATGCATGTGTTGAAGCATTATTTATGTGGCAAATCAAACATAGTACATCATGTGCTGTATAACTTGGTACCAGTACTTGGTTGGGTAATCCCTTTGGCAGCTCACTCAGGAAGCTATACTTGGATGGTAGGTGAGGCGAGTAACTACAAAGAGTGTCATGAATTGCTGGAATGGCGTGTGGACAAAGCACTTGTCAATTTACAGTAAAATATGCTAAGTCCAGTGCAAGTAAAAACCAAGCTAGTAAGCTTATACAATGTGAGAACCAACAGGGGGCTGCATCATTACGATGGAGGGTAGAGCAGCTTCCTTGAAGTTGGTTATTCCTGTTGCATTGACTGCTGAGCCTGGCAGATGGTTCCAGATCCTTATTGCTCTTGGGTATTATGAGAATGATAACACATATATATCATCTGTTTGGAGCCAGAAGGGCATTGACCCCTATCCTTTAACACAGAGTCAATGGCCTTCTGGCTCTGAAGGGGCAATACACCTGTTCTAACACATCACAGACATTGCAATTGAAACACACAGAAGACGGATGTTTGAATCGTCAGTTAGGCGCACCTGAACAAACTAGGTTGTGCAAGACGAGCAGTTATTTCTACTCCTCTCCAAATTGTCATTCTTTTTGTGAGAAAATATTTGGATCATTTTGCTGCCATAATGTTCTGGCTTCCATTTATATTTTGGACTATTAAAAATAGAACACAAGTTACTGTTTCTTTTAATGCATGTGATATGTAAGTGCTAATCTGTTCGGTGTTAAACATGGTCTGTGAAGTCGGCTTCTAATATGAATTTTCTGAAATCTTGGTTTTGATGTCTTCGAAAAGAACTAATGTCATTGCTGTATTTCTTTGTTTTATACATTATAACCAACTTGGTGTTTTTATACCCTAAGAGAGATTTAATTGAGGGAGAGGATATCCTCTGGTTTGGGCAAGAAAGACGCTAACTCGTATACTTCTAACACAGAGTTAACGCCATTCTGGTTCTGGATGTTTTCAAAGAAAGAATATGAGATGGAAACTTCATCCTTTTTTTATTGAGATTTTCTTTGAAATATTTTTGTTGGTTAGTTTTGGAGAATTCTCCTCAGTAGGAGTGGGACTTTATTTAGAAATTCAAGACATAACTATTAGATTTAGATATTCAGATGGAGGGGTTTTGACATAGACAGCCATGCTGGGCATGTGCTTTTTATATTTTATTGAAAGAAAGATTTGAGATGAAATATATTGCTGTGTTTATTGATTTGTGGATATGTTTTTCAGTCATTAGCATTTATCATTTTATGTATCATAGTAGTGTTTCAACTGCATTCATAAGGTGTTCTTAAATTTCCCTTTACGTTCTTCTGTATCTATATTGAAATATATCACAACAGTAAATATGCATCAGTTCTTTCTACTTCTTTGTATGTATGCTCTATGGAGAAAAAGGATGACATTTTCGATCTTGAAATTGATATTTCTGCTCTGCGACACACTTTATGCAGTGGTCATAGAATCAAAATAATTAATCTTTCAGTTGTCAGGCATCTGGGCAGCCCCCAAATGTAGTCTCAGGGTTGTATTGATATTTTTCCACCTGGCTGGGTCTTGAAGGGGAGGGGGCAGGGGGGGGGGGGGGTACGTTGGCTTCACCCCATGCCTCTGTGAGAAAATCTTACCCAGGGAATGGCAACCCTCTAAACCCCCTCCTACTTTTCAGCAAACATTTCAATTTTATTAAAGATCCAAATTATATGTGCAAGAAGTAGACAGTTGATGGTGATCGAATTGTTTGTTGTTATAAAATATTTGCATCAAATTGATGTGAGAATATTTTTTTGTGTGCCATTTTAGCAATATGTTGAAATTCTTATTTTTGTACATGAACATTATTATGGCATAGAGAATGTGGTGTATATATAGTTATTCTTTGTTGAACTATTGAAAATGATGTTTATATGAAAATGAAATTTGTGTGATAATGTATATAACCTCATATATGGTATATGATAAACGTATCCGGTTTTCTTATTCGTCATAAAACTTTTTGAAACAGTTGTCTGTATGCTTCATGTTTGACCAAGGATTTCAGTGTATGGATCTGAATGGTACGTCTGATGTATGTTTGTATGTTTGTTTGTTTGTTTATTTTATTTTAGCACGGTGGTATACTTCAGCTAATGGCTGTTCTTCAGCATGGCCGTTCATATAAAAAGCAATCGCAATTTTACAAAGAAGCATACATTATAGATTAACATGGTTTACATACAAAGTTAAATAAAACATACACAATATATATACCAATAGGTTAGAAGGCGAGAAATCCAAACACGCCCTAGTTTAGAAAAAAAAAACGAACGGAGAAAAAAGAAATAGAAGAAAAACAAATCAGTTGTTTTTGTTTGCTATAAAAAGTCAAACATGATATTACAAATATTATAAAATCCTTTTGAAAGCATAGTAAGTTGGTTTATATTTAGTTTCTACCTGCAATTCATTCCATAATTTTCCATGTGTGTATGTATGTATTAGAAACTTTTGAAGAGACAACAGTTATAATATATTGTTTGTCGAGAGTTGATGCACGGGGATTTATACAATGCGTCATGTGTCATTTATTAATCATAATTGTGATTAAGTTATGATAAAACATCGATAATTCTCGGTTTCGTTTTTTCTGGGACGCACTGTATATCGCTTTCGTAGATTTTTTTTTTAAAGCTCTCTTATTTTAATAATAACTATTTGACCTTTTTTAAACCTGAAACAAGTTTGCATACATTGTGTGGGCTTACAGTTTGGGTCTTATTTAATATTGGGCTAAAAAGACGAAATTGGTAAATTTAATCCATAAGGGCATTTATACTTGAAAATGTTTTCAGACCCTTTCGGAACTCATCATTTTTGTTGCTGTTGTTGTTTCTGTCACTGCTATTGTTCTTTGGTTTTTCCTCCTTGATTTTGGTTTTCTTCTAGTTTCTTCTAATTTCTTTTTTTTTTTTTTTTTTTTAAAGTCACAAAAAATGACACAGGAATATTACAGCTCAGAACTACAACTGCAAAATAATCGACCTGTTTGTTTCATTCGTCCATTTTGCCCATTTCCTTATTGGGGGGTTAATTAGAGGAGCACAAGAAAATGCACATGATAATATCAAATTGATATTAATATCTCAACAAACAAACCATTAGTGCACCCACAAATTTAAGCCACATATTTGTACATCGTGATCGTTTGGCTAAGTAGGCTCTATGTCAGCTCACAAGCCTCACATGGTCAAATTCCTCAATATTTTTCTCACTCCAACTGATCTTTGGACTCGCGTTTCCCTACACGATTGCGTCAATTGTTAAGGAGTGTGAAATGCGGTTTTTAACTAGACGAATTTCCATACCTCACTAGTTAATCATTAAAACGAAACGCGCCTGTTTACTCAAAACATCCAATTAATCATCACCCATGCAGTTATGTAATGCCGAACAATCCTAACGATTAAAGGGTCTCTATATTTTCCCCCAAGTTCAGTGTTGCTGAAGAAATTAAAGTTTTAGGCCTACATATACAACCTTATTGAATCGAGGTTAGTAAATACATGTACTACGTACTTTTACTGGGGAGGGCTTCAGAGTTGTAACATTCCCTCTCAATTTCAATATGACTTTATTTGAAAGATTAAATTTATGATTTATATGAATACGCAAAATTAGATGCACGTTTGCTTTTATCCACATCTAGTTTCCATTTTCCTTGTTTGTTGTTGTTTGTGTGTGTGTGTCCCTTTCTTTCCTTCATATTATGTTATGTACATATAATGTTTGATACTTTTTAGCTTTGATTTCTACATCTATAAAGGGGTCATTTCTAATAAGCTTCTTTGTGCTAATTTTTATGATCCATTATTTTATTTACCAAACAAAAAATTTGCATTAATTTATATGTTTTGTTTTTACAGTTGAAATAAATGATTTGATTTGACTTGAAGATACGCACACATTATGCATGATAATTTGAACCTTTCTCCATGACGCTTGCAAAGGCGGAAATTAATAAAATAAATAAAAGGAGGGGGGGGGGGGTAATGTCTAAAACGGCGTGGATGACGTGTTGTTCTTAAATATACGACCTCTATTTAATCGACTTGAGTAAATTGGTCATCGTATTAGTTAATGATTATCCCTAAAGTTTACGTCAATACGTACGGCAAGCAAACTGATGATATCTGGTCTACAACCATTATTCCAAAAACTATCGCATCCGCATTTGTATACATTCCGAGTGTTATTACTGTTGGACAGCTGAGGAATTACTGAATTTTAAAATCTCAAACGCGAAGCAAATTCTTGATTTTTTACAACATTCTGTTCGGGGATTGTATTTCTACCAGATCTTTGTAAAAACATCATAAAAGGTAAGTCACTTTATCTTCACTTTTGTAAAATAACTAGTGTTGCTACGGATACAAGGAAGATGTGGTATAGATTCAGGAAGATTTACAATATACTCACTCTATAATTGCTTCTGTTTTTGTGGGGGGGGGGGGGGGGGGTCCTGTTTTCGTTGGTTTTTCTTCTTTGTGTTTAAATCATCAAAATTGAAAGGGTAATTTATACACAACATTGCATCGTTGATGTGTTTTATAAAGTTATAATATATTGACTACAATCAATGGTCTAGGCACTTCCGCTCTTTTTTGGAGTTCCTTTCACGATCGAAGAATCCAAAGTGACGATAATTATGCAAACGAAAGAAAGAAATTGTATTTGTTACGGAATTCTACATTATTCAGTCGAAGATTATCAACAATTTAAAATAGACCAATACTCAAATATTTGTCCTTATAAAAACACTTATAAATATATATAGTCATCTCGTATTTCAAACACTCATAACTTTCTTTTTATTGGTCGGATTTATTTCAAATTTTCGCCATTCTCTGTCTCTTTTTTACCTGCTGTGAATCAATTGAACTTATTAAAAGAGTTAAATTGCCCTTAAGAAAGTATCTGCTCATACAAAAAAGGAAAGAACTGACTGCTTAATCCTTGATCAAACACGGTTACGAACTAAAAACCAATGCTATTATAGGCGGAAAGATGATCGATGATGAATTTCAATGTTGTGGAAAGCATCATCAGCATAAAATGCTGTTCTTCCTGAAGGCCCTGTGATCATTATTAACCCCAAAATTGCCGGATACCCATTAGCACCTATGTGACGGGTTTGCAAATGTGGATTAATGCCTTGCTAACCCTTATAAAAAAGTACCATGGTAACCATGGTAAAACCATGGTAAAACCATGGTACCACCGTGGTACCTGTGGTACTCGTCTCTAACCATGGTACTACCATCAAAGAACCATGGTATTACCATGGTTATATGACAAGTACCATCGTATACCATGGTACTTCCGAATTTGTACCATGGTACTCTATGGTACCTGTGGTACTAGTCTCTAACCATGGTACTACCATGCAAGAACCATGGTATTACCACGGTTATATGACAAGTACCATGGTATACCATGGTACTTCCGAATTTGTACATGGTACATTGTGGTACTTAATTGGCAGTTGTATGGTTCTAACCATGGTTCAGTACCATATGTTGTGTTTGTTTTGTTTGTCTGATTGATTTAATTATACAATTAATGTGCAAGTATGAGTCGTTCGGTAGGAATCGTTTGCAATTTTTTAAAACAAAAACAACAACAAATTACCGAACGCATGACATCATTTTACCGGACGCATGAAATCAAATAACAAAACATATAAGAACCATTTAAACAAAAATTTAGAATCATTAAGAACAAGATAGAAAAAAATTATGATTACAAAAAATATATATTTTCATTTGGCCATTTATCAATAGTGTGTAAATGTAGAAATTGTGCAACAGCTTGAAATATCATAAAGAAGGACTGCACAAGTCAAGACTATTACCTACAAGCCCCAACCCCACACAACCAGCGCATGCAGCTACAGCTACACAACCAAGGAGCAGCCATTGTGTGTGCCAAGGATCGCTGTACATGCAGTGCTAGTGCAGTGTACGTGTATGCTGTGTACATGCAGCAATATAGAGTCTGGTACGTGCACTGTTGTTCACAGTCCAGCTTCATGCCTCGTGTTCATCTTGGTGTTTTAGATCTGCAAAATCATGCTGAATTCTGTTTTTCCCGGCTAATCTACAACAGCATGGGTAAGTTTAAGAATCATCTACTTTATTTACAATATGTACATAGATCTAGTCGATGTCTAGATAGTTATTTATGATGTCAACTGGGACTTAAAATACATTCGACAGGATAACAGTTAAGACTGAACATGTATGATCCCATGTACGTTATTTGTTGTAGTATCTTGATGGGTTTATGGGGCTTATCATTCAAACTTTCAAAGCAAAGTTTGTCCATTTACATACACATTGTCATTAACTCTACTGTTAGTATATAGTGTCACTGTTCGAAGGATTGAATGTTTTATTCTTTTTAGAAAATAAATAGAATACTGCATAAAAATCCAGCAAATTAATGAATTAAGCTAATCGATGTCATGTCTGCCTCTGCTCTGTGACTGCATGTGTGATTTCATGTTGACAGTTGTTGATATTCATATTTGTTTTTTTTATTTAATTCAAAATTGTCTTTTTTAAATTACAGATATATACGCAACATGACAAATGAGTAGTTTCCATATCGACGTCGCTCTTTATTATCATCTTGACCAAAACATCAACGCCACCATCACTATTTCTTCGTCGTTGACCTCCGTTTTGGCGTTTAAACTTGAAGTTTGTTGCGAACTCTAATAATGAATTAGGACATTGGCATTATCGACTTTTGTTCTGTCTTTGAACACCATCGACGTCGAACTTTGATTGAAGGTAAGAACCTCCTCTTTACCTTCTTCGTCTTCGATTTGCTTTTCGTCGTTTCCAAGTCTGATCCTGACTCCGGCTAATGATGAATTTATCGACTTTCGATCTGTCTTCGATCACCGTCGACGTCGAACTCTATACCAAGTTTCACCATCGCCAAACATGGACTTCGCATCCGATCGACATTGCAGACTCTTGGCTGATGATTACCCGACGTCATCTATGATCTACCATAGGAAGTAGGCCTAGCTACCAATTGTTTCTTCAAACCAAATTCGAGTACGACATCGTCAACGAATCTCGCATTTCCGCTGGAAGGACAGTTTGTAAATTGTACTATTGAATATGAGCGGCAGTCTTTCGCTATAGAAATAGACTAACCACTTTACTTATAATATTGCTGTGTGCTGAAAGTGTTAGTGTCATATGCAATGTAACAAGCGGCAGTCTTTCGCTATAGAAATAGACTTCAGTTTTCGACTGTAAATCGTTTTATATATTTTACGCGAGATAGATTTTAGCTCGTTTGAATAAACGCCTTTAAAAAAGTAAACATATTGTTTCCAGTGTTTGATGTTTGATACGTCATATGATCATTTGACAATAATGATCAACATTATTGTGATGTCTTTTGTTAACAGATGAAAGAGTAGTGGCTGAACCTTGAGAATATCGATAATTGTGCTGAAAGTGGACTTCATGCCAGCTCCTGTCATTTTGTGTCTACTTTGCAGACCAGCATGTTCTTTCAAAGTTAAATGATCAAGGGCTGGCAGATATTATGAGGAATACTGTGTTGAAAGTGCTTAATTTAGGTAGTAGATTTGTAAATGATAACAAAAAATCAATCATGCAATGTAATCAATGCTTTCTTTTTTTATTAAGCTACATGCAAAATGGAAAGGCGACTGGGTACGTGCAGTAACATTATAGTACAAGTACCATGGCAACCTAGGTACAGGAGAACAATGGTAACGAAAGGTGTGGGAGAACCATGGTACCGAAAACCATGGTCATAGTACCAAGAACCATGGTACCGAAAACCATGGTCATAGTACCAAGAACCATGGTACCGAAAACCATGGTCATAGTACCAAGAACCATGGTAACCATAGTACCGAGAACCATGGTACCGAAAACCATGGTACCGAGAACCATGGTAACCATGGTACCGAGAACCATGGTAACCATGGTACCGAACACCATGTTAACACTGAACCATACTTCGGTGTTACCATGGTTTTCAGTACCATGGTTACCATGGTTCTTTGTCCAAATTACCATCCACCATGAGAACCATGGTAACCATGGTACTGAAACCATGGTTTTTACATGGTACATTTTTGTAAGGGAATAGACGTCAGAGCCTGGCTTGGATTCGAACCTCAACCCTTAGATTGAGATTCAATTGAATGAACCACTATACCACGACACCTCGATGAAAAGAGAGTACAGACAGTTTCGTACTGTTTCAATTACTGTTTCAATACTAAGGAGAACTATACTGGACTATAATGGAATTTAAATGATTAAACGATTATGTTTGTTTGTAGCTTCCAAAGTACATTTTAACGCAAACGTATCATATAGTTTCTTGCTCTAAGAACAATACAGTCAGTCAGTCGGGGTATCATGATATTACGTAACACTGGATAAATATCGCTTAGGTTAAGTATACCTTATGACATGTTTAAAGCTCTATCTTATTCATTTCGCAATTAGCTTATTTCTCCAGCCTAGCTCGCTCTTCATTGCTTGCCCGTATAGGGGTTGGGGGACCGGGGAGTTGGGGGAGGACGGGAGGTAGGGGTATGTTGGCTGCTCCCTGTGCACGGGGATCAATGGCAATTCATTTCAGGTCATTACTGGCATTATTTTGATATGACAAGATAAGCCTCTTGCCCACTTTCATGGAAAATAGTAATTCTGTTACTTTTAAGCCATAACATAATATAGTTATGAGCACAAAACTAAATGAAATCATGAGGTCGCAATCATATCTCTCTAAGAAGTGAAGGAAATACTCAAGCCGCCTAGGGTTAATACCGGATCAGTATCTTTATAGAAGTAGACTCCCAATGTCGAATGCGGCTCATTTTCAGCTGGAGCTTGTGTAAAACAGAAATCGTCAAATATCATTGATTCATTTTTGAACACCTCTGATCTGACAAACGGATTGGGGTCCCAAAATCTAAGACACAAATAGCCCAATTAATGCCTATATATATGCCCCCGCAGTTTCACCATAATAGTCATTTGATTTATCACAATGGTCCCTAAAATCTCATACGTAGTTTGCTGAATAATTCATAACATAATAACTTTGTTCCTCTTTCTCCATTCCCCTCTCTTTCTCCCTCTCCCCCTCTCTCTCCCTTTCTCTTTTGCTTCCCCATCTGGCTCTCTTCTCCATTTCACCTCTCTCTTTTCCTACATCTCCCCATTTCTCCCCTCTCTATTTTCCTATCCCTCCTCTATTTCTAATCGCTTTAACAAAAATCTATCTATCTTTCTTCTTACACCTTTCCTTCCCGCCCCTCGATCTCACCTCTCACTTTCTTGAATCCGTAGACGATGTCGAACGCAACATACCCTGCCGACCCCGTTCTCACAACCACAGTGGAACACGTTAACACTCAGGAGAACCGTTCCAGAAACAACAAGATAAAAGTGTTACAGAGTATGGCGGGAATACAAATCGTTACGGGAATCATATGCAGCGCCATGGGCGGGACAGCTATGGTCCTGGAGTGCTATCTGTCCCGGATCGGTGATCCTATATGGAGCGGTTTACTGGTAACGCAATTTTTGTCATTTTTTTTTTTTAAAGAAACAATCGAATTTTCATTTTATGTTAAAAGTCTGTACATGTGATTTGATTGGTTGATGGTACGAGCAGCAGTATTTTCTAGAAATATCCTTTACCAAATAATTTTATTTTCAATATGTAATGTCTTATGATCCAGTTTGATAATAACTCATTTCCTTCATTCATGTAAATGGTATACAAGCATGACACTTAATAATTTTGTTTATGTTCCTTCTATCTAGTTTTTCATGGTTGCTGGTATAGCTGGATCAGCTGGAACGGCTACGGGAAAACAGTGTGGGGTAAGTTGAAATCAGAGTTTGTTTTCACTGAAGGCAGATTTTTACTCTCTTTATCGAGTGGTTTGTTTCAGTACTATTGCGGTAAAGTATTATATTAAGTAAGTCAATCCATCGATAATGATCTTTAATGATGTTACGTCGCAGGCCATTTTGCATAAGTTAAGAAAAAAGAATATTATCTTCACCCTGTAGCAACAACTCAAGTGTCGGGTGCTATTATTAAACACAATTCACGTTTGCACTCTTAAAGGAAATACAAAGTTTTGGTATGGGGTCATGAATTTGGTTCAAATTAACATATTAAAAGCAAATATGATCCTACAACATTGAGTGATTGTTGTCGCGGTTGAAATTGAGTCTAAAGTTATGAAATTATAAATAATAAACTCTTTATGTTGTATAGCTCCCTCTCAAGGTCAAGATATTAATTTAGCAATGAAACAATATTTCTTGACTAAAATCGACCGATTAGCTATTCCCGTTTGGAAATTATATATCCCAACTACATATTCTGAGATTTTCATGGTCGCAGCTACCATTGTACGGCCGTAGGACCTATTTGAAATTTATCAAAATTTACTGGGAGCACCGGTAAAATTTTATATATTCAATTTTTCTCAAAAACAGAAGTGTTTTAGGTGCTATTTTTTTAGTGCATATATTACATCTTCAGGGGCATCCAAATATATCAAAATTGTAAAGATTCACTATCCACCCAATTTTCAAAATTTCCCAGAACTTTGTATTACCTTTGAAAACGGATACACGAGTGGAGTATGAAATGCCGCAGGGGTTTATGGTTTAAATTTGAAAAGATGGAAAAGTAACGAAAAATGTACCATGTCGGGTTCAATACTGCATCCTGTGTATAGGATGGAATATTTCTCGGGTTACAGAGGAATCATATCTTCTTCTTTTACATTTATTCTTAATCTCATCCTCCTTCCTCCCACTCTTCTTCTTCTGTCTTTCTATCTTTTCTTCTTCTTCCTCTTCCTCTTCGCCTTCTTCTCCTGCTTCTTCTTCTTCTTCTTCTTCTCCTTCTCCTCCTCCTTCTTCTTCTTCCTCCTCCTCTTCTTCTTCTTCTTCTTCTACTTCTTCTTCTCCTTCTTCTTCTTCTTCTTCTTCTTCTTCTTCTTCTTCTTCTCCTTCTTCTTCTTCTTCTTCTTCTTCTTCCTCTTCACCTTCTTCTTCTTCTTCTTCTTCTCCTTCTCCTCCTTCTTTTTCTTCTTCCTCCTCCTCTTCCTCTTCTTCTTCTTCTTCTTCTTCTCCTTCTTCTTCTTCTTCTTCTTCTTCCTCTTCACCTTCTTCTTCTTCTTCTTCTCCTTCTCCTCCTTCTTTTTCTTCTTCCTCCTCCTCTTCTTCTTCTTCTTCTTCTTCTTCTTCTCTTCTTCTCCTTCTCCTCCTTCTTCTTCTCCTTCCTCCTCTTCTTCTTCTTCTTCTTCTTCTTCTTCTTCTTCTTCTTCTCTCCTTCTTCTTCTTCTTCTTCTTCTTCTTCTTCTTCTCCTCCTCCTCCTCCTTCTTCTTCTTCTTCTTTTCTTCTACTCCTCCTTAATCTTTCCCCCATTCTCCTCCTCCTCCTCCTTATTGTTCATATTGTCAATGTCTTCCTCTCTCTCTCTCTCTCTCTCTCTCTCTCTCTCTCTCTCTCTCTCTCTCTTCATTCGTCTTTCCTTACCCTTCTCATCTTTCTCCCCTCCCGTAGATCACCTTCTATGCTGTATGGTCTTCGCTCTCTGCTGCCTGTGCGGCGCAACTCTTTGGTATATCTGTTTATGCTGCTTCCCAAGAACTTGAGTTGCTTTGCTATCCAGGAATCGATACTTACAAATTATGCACCTACGTGATCGTAAGTATACTTTAATATGTTTTTCTTGGTGCATTTAGTTGGACTTGTATTGGGATAAACCCCCCCCCCCCCCCAAGGACAATAACACTCCGGAAATTTACCCCCTAGAACAATTACCCCCCACCTCTGAAAATTAGCCCCTTGGACAATTAGCCCCCCCCCCCCGGACATCAAAGGATAATCTCCCCCGAAAAATACCCCTGCTCATTAAAGGGGAAGTCCACCCCGATAATAAGTCTGTTTTAATTTTTCGGGGAGGGGGGGGGGGGGTAATATTCCTCGGAGGTGGTTGTCCTTTGGGGTAACTTTCCGGGGGGATAATTTTCTGGAGGTAATTGTCCTTGGGTGTAATTGTCCCGTTGGTAATATGTAAAAAGAAAAACAGTGGCGTAGTTACGGGAAGACATAGGGGCTTGTGTCCTCCCCACCTCTAAAGCCCCCCCCCCCGAAAGATGGTGAGAGAAAAAGGAAGAGGGGAACGTGGGGCGAGAGACGCTTTGACCCCATCCTTAACCTTCGCTTCATTAAATCATTTATTTATTTCTTGTTATTCATCCCGCGACATACATGAATATAATACCTTATATTCATTTACAAAAGAGAAGAAAAATGTAGGGCTGGTTGTGCTAGCTGGCCTGGGAATGGAAACAGCAGGCCTTTCTTCCCGGTTATGGCCTTGTACATGAGCAATTTATCCATTTAAATTGGTGCCCCCCCCCCATAAGGGCAACGCCCCTTAATGTCAGCACCCACGCTACGCCACTGTCAAGAAAGAAAACAAAACTTCTGTTTTCTTCACTTTCAATTTTAGATATATAACCTAGAATGGAAGTTATCTTTCTGGCATGACCGATTTGTTGTTTAAACCTTTCATTTCATGATGTTGACGATTTTGATTGATGATTGTTTAACATGGCTGCTAAGAAATCATGCATATATGCTCGTACACTTATGTAAACAACCAGGAGACCGACGGCTTTTAAGTTCTCTCATTGTTATGAGGAAAAATGCCTGAACATAAGGCTCTTGCGCTTTGACTCTGTTTCGAACCCAGGACCTCTCGGTTAGGAGACCATTGCTCTACCACTGAGCCATCACGCCTCCTTTGACAATGTCCAAGCTTCGTAGGGTTAAAGTTTTTCAATATAAATAGAACCTCATGGGTTATTTTGATTTTCGCTAACAAAACTTCATAGGTTTCCCTTTTCTAAAGAAACTATTTTGATTTTCAACACCAAAGGGATTCTTTTATAAACCATTGAAATGCCTCTTTCTAATCATGCTTCCATGATATTGTGCTATTAATACATTGTATATGTTTGACTATCCATACGTTGTATATATTTGGCTATCCATACGTTGTATATATTTGCCTATCCATACGTTGTATATATTTGGATTGAAATGTATGGGCAACCATTATTCTACTTACCAAATTAGACTTTTTAGAACGCCCAAAATCTTTTTAAAAGCGCAACTATGAGCAGGCTGACTATGAGTATTGATACATTGATACAGTCAAAATCTGTGGAAAGCATGTTTCGAATTTTAAAACAATGACAAAGAATATTCATGGCAGACTATAGTGCCTAAAAATCAAACAGTGACGCAACAGAAGTAGCAAGAACGAAAAAGTCTTTATAAAATCGTTATTCTATTATTTACACATTAACCATCTTGATTGGGGTGGATATGTGCGCAATATAAATGTTGTTATTATTATTATTATTATTATTTGATTCGATTGATTGCATAATCCTTTTAAGCATAATATATTTTCATCAGCAAATAATTAAAGATCTGATACAATTTAAATATTTGTCTGCATACAGAAAACGAATGAAATAATGGACGTTTATTAGATATCGGGCTACAGAATATAGGAGTCACAGTTTCCATTACGAAACATAATTTGTTTAATGTCTATTATGGTCTTTTTGTATTCGTTCGTAAATATAATGTTGTTTTATTTTCCTACCGTTGTTATCCCCACAGGAAGCACGTATTGGTATCAACGTGTGTATAGCAATTGTTAGTTTTATCGCTCTTATTTCCTGCCTTGTTGCATCGTGTATCAGTTGCGCTCTACCGTCACCCCAAACGGTAAGTTTTTTTTTTTTTTTTTTTACTTTCTTTTACTTTCTTGTTACATTATACATTAGAGCTCTATTTCTCAGTAGGTAGATGTACATCTACATTAAGATGATAAATAACTTGTGTCTTTGGTATCCCCATTAACGCCTTTCTAGACAAGAATCATCGTACAGGCAACCCCTGCAACAATGGAAAGCGGACCCACATCCTACCCTAATCCTAATGCTTCTTTCGTCACCATGGGTAAGTTATTTCTCTCTCTTTCTCTCTCTCTCCCTCTCACCCCCCTCTCTCTCTCTCTCTCTCTCTGTCCCCGTTCTCTCTCTCTTTCATCTGTCCTTCTTCTGTCAGTACTTTTTCTTTCTTTCTGCTATATGTTGTATAATAATGCCATTTTTTTTATATTATAGAACGTCATACGCAAGACGTTTCTAAATGGCTTTGAAATTGCGATCTCTTGCATTTTTTCAATTTTGAAATGATTTGTCATCTACGTGTTTTTTGAAAGGCATAATTATCTAATTGAATTATACTATGATATGAATTTATATGTACTTAGTTTATATACTACATATTATTCTGTTGAAAAATGCGAAATGAAATCTTACAAACAATCAAACAAAGAAAAAATGAGGCAGCAAACAAAAGAAGGAGAAATTACCATTTGTTTACTTCAATGTGTAAACACATTTGCCTTATAGGTAAACAAAATTCGTTTCTCTAAAATCTTTGTTCTAATTGGATTATGTCTTTGTCTCTCTATTTCCCTTTCATTTCTAATTGATTTCATTTTTCCTATTCATTACTTGACTATATTCTTGCATTTTTATCGTTATTCCTTTGATACCATTATGTCTCCATCTTCGTGATAATGATAATCACTATTATTATTAACATCATCATCATTACAATCCTTCTCGCAACTAATCATCATTACAATGCATCATCATTATCATAACCATCATCATCATCACCACCATCTTCATCATCATCACCATCATCATCATCATCATCACCATCTTCATCACCATCACCACCACCACCACCTCCACCATCATCATCACCACCATCTCCATCATCACCACCATCATCATCATCATCATCTTCATCATCACCACCATCTTCATCATCACGACCATCTTCCTCACCACCCCCATCATCATCACCACCATCTCCATCATCATCATCACCACCATCTCTATCATCACCACCATCTTCATCATCACCACCATCTTCATCACCATTACCACCACCACCACCTTCCTTATCAACAACAACATAAACAAAACCCTTATCGCCATCAACGTCATGCCATGAATGTCTTTTGTATCATGTTCATCGTCGAATCTCTCCATATCTCTTCTTATCTCCTCTCCACTCATCTCTCCCCCTCCTATCCGTTTAGATGCTTCCAAACCATACGGAACAGTGGAACCTCCTCCATACTCGGCTAATTAACTTAGTATCCATGGCAACCGATGTTACTAGGCAGACATCTTCATTGGCTACCACCACCTGCATTCCACGTAACTTCAACGAAAGTACCCACCCCGGTGCTATATTATTATTGTATTATAATAGATGATCTTTGGAACACTAACAATCTACTTATATTATGAAACAAAATGAGGTCAATAATCATATCTGATTGATACACGACTGTAAAAGCCCAAATGCTTTTTATTTCGAATCCCTCCCAAAGCAAAAATGTCCTTTGGCAAGACATTCATCTACAATCGCCACACTCGAACCAGGTGTAGTAAATGGGTACTTGACCGGAATTAATTCCTTGAAACGCCAGAGCACCATAATGGTAGCCATGTTAAAGCAGGCATGGTCATTGTGTAGCGCCAGGGGGGTGTTTCACAAAGATCCTAAGTAGAACTTAACTCTAAGTTGGACTTAAAAATTATGGAAAGCCATCAGCATCTTTGAAAATATTTGGAAAAAATATTTTTGAAAGGCATAAAATGTTTATTCAAATCATTCATATTTTCTATCATTAAGGAGATTTCATATTCTTGTTGTGGAATTTATAAAATGTCTAAAATACTTGAATTTCTGCTTTTGAGTATATTTCATTTTAAGGCTCCAATGGCTGTCCATAATTTTTAAGTCGAACTTAGTGTTAAGTTCTACTTAGGATCTTTGTGAAACACCCCCAGGAGTATCAAGTCTGACAGACTCGAGCGCTATACAAACCTTCTATCACTATCACTAATAATAAAGCTGGTAACTTTAACAAAGCTGAATGATCTAATACTAGGTGTACATACTGTAGGTGTATTATAACATCTCTTTTATAAACAAAATGTTGTTGCGCAATCCATTACGTGCATCAGGTGTCCAGCATTATTAGAAAAATTTAGAAAAATTATCATCACAATATATTAATATAAATTTTGTCTTTTCTTGCATAAACTTACAAAATATTTATCTAATTTCATTTGTGTACTTCAATGATAAAATTTGCCCCCAGACTGGTGAAAATGATATTTAACATAAACATTATTCTATAGATGAAATCCTTATGTACAAAACAGGAGATTAACTCCATAGATTTACATATTCTAAACCATGTATTGTAAATATTTTACTAAATGTATATTTTCCTGTTTGATATTGTTTTGTTAATTGATTAAGTCTAGTTGTAGGAATTACATAAATCTTTCGCATAGCGCAAACATGGGAGATTTTCTGACGTATTCTTTCAAGTGTCACAAATGTTTTAACAACATGCCTGATTGCCTGTCAATTGTTATGTGAGTTATTCTTCGTTATGTATTTTGGGAAACGGACAATTTAGGTGCAATGGAAATTGAACATTGCATGGTTACTATTAGCCAATTGTTTACCAGTTGATAACTGGAGTAACTGATTTCAGATATGACGGGATCTTATACAAATGTAAATTATTTTATCACACATTTCTATCTGTTAATGAACGGGAATGATCGATATTGCGAGAATAATTTTCGTATCAGTCAATCAATAAACATGTACTATTGTAATATTGTATTGATTGAGCTTTATTGTGCTTAAATGTGTTTTTAACAGCAGTTACCTAACCTTCTTTTAATAACAGGACAAGTAAAGCTGAACAAAAAATAACTTGTGAACTTTCTCATTCTTGTACTTATCATCGCATGTTCCTTCCTTACGAAGGGGGGGGGGGGGGGGGGGAAGATGAAGTCATACATTGAGAAAGGGAAAAAGAGGTAATGGGAGATGACGAGAGAAGGGGGGGGGGGTGAGTGAGAGAGACAGAGACGGAAATATAGAGAGACCAAGAAAGAAAGAGAGGTAGGGAGAATGAAAGAAAGAGAAAGGGAGAAAAAAGAAAGATGGGAGAGAGAGAAAAAAAAGGAAACAGAAAGGGGAGAGAGAGAGAGAGAGAGAGAAAGGAAGGGAGAGAAAAAGAGAAAGATGGGAGAGAGATGGGGAGAGAAAGGTAAGAGTGTCCACAAAAAGAAAAGGAGAGAGGGGAGAGAGAAATGTTCAGTGTGTATGTGTGTGTGTGTGTGTGTGTGTGGGGGGGGGGGGATAAAACAAATGTTCTCAGGTTCAAGCCGGTCTTTAAACCACAAAGGAGGGGAAGTTGCTCCCTCCCTCCCAGAAAAATTCCAACCCCCCCCCCCTACCCGCCCCTTCTCATTTCTTGCTTCTCACGGAGGGGGTTGCTAATGCACTAGTAACAATACTTATCTTCAACATCATTTTATGTTGCTCATTTTATCAGATTCAAGGTGAACTTAATGAACAAATACAATGGCCTTTGGCTGGGGGACTTTTCCCTTGTATCTAGTGTTTATAGTGGACTTTACTGGTATGCCCTCGATCTCTGTCCAATGAAATATACCCTTTTGTTGTCCAGACCATCAGTTGCGAGATAATTCATTGGTTGAAATGAAAATAACACGCATTGACTGTATAGCGTGTGTGTGATCATACCAATTTTTCCTCACAAGTACAGTTAAGATCTGAAAAAAAGATGTATCGTCATTGATGGGGATCAATGAGCTATTTTCACACAGGTGTGAGTGCGTGCGCATGAGGGTATTCACGCGGCGTGCATGATGACTTTTTGTTGAACCTTTTTTAATGCACCGTTGTACTTACGACCACAATATCTCTGGCAAAATACACTACCCGTCCATGTGGTCCATTTTGACAGTTCTCATTGGCTAAATTTTCGAACCCATTGTATAAAGGGAAATAATAAATGTTCTGTTTGAATTGATCGACTGTTGGTCTGTTGTCTGGACGACGCGTTGGTGTAACTAGGTATAATACTCACTGGGTTGTTTTGTTATATAGTTTGTGAACAATGGAAACGTACCGATGAAAAGCACTGACGAGCCTTTTCCATCCTTATTTCTTAATTCTCTCTTTCATTCGTTTATCTCGTCCTATTATTTGAGATCACCACGATAGCTCAATAATGAATACAAAATTGACTGAATAAAAAAGCCGTTAATGACTGATGACAACGCTATAATGATAATAATAATATAGGGTCCTTGAATAGAGTTCATATCTGTCTGACTTGACACTCCTGACGCTCCCTAATGATAGATAAGCTCCTTTACAGGAGAGGAGACAGAAGACAGATTTGATCGATATTTACACATATCTCAATGATATATATAGGAATAGTCCAGAAAAGTTCTTCTCTGCTCCAGACAAAGATCTAAGAGGTCACTACTAAAAAGCTTTACCAAAGACGTACTCGCACAAAATTAGCTGGCCACTTTTTTCAAATCGAGTGGTCCAACCAAGGAACAGCTTACATCATGACATAGTGTCTGCACCTACTGTGGCTACTTTTAAGAGAAGTATACCAAGTAAGTAAGTGATGCTACAAACTATTCTTTCACGAAGCATAGCAGTTCTGACGTCACTATGCGAAACGGTTTCCATGGAAAGTTTGTTGTTAAATTTCTCTTTTATTAAATTCTATGAATCATTGTGTATAAGCATAAATTATTCCGTAAAGCTATTCAAGTTCCTTCCACATGAAAGAATGATTTTGCTGTAAAATATCTGGCACACATTCAATATGACACTATTATTATCATAATGGTTCGGAAATTAAGAAACCGAAAATCAGACCTGCTCCATTTTGGCATCCAACGTGTAACCTTCAGTCCTCTTTTTTCTTAATACATAACATACACAATCGAAACCAATAAAAAATGAACCTAAAGTAATTTCCTTGGCCTTGGGCATCATATATTGAAATATGCGAAAATTACATTGACATAGGTTATAACATTATCCGAACATTATCTATGCATGATTTATAACTGATAAAACTTACAGTAATGAAGTTTCCCCTCAGGTTTAATTTCTTAAAGTCTTTGCGATCGTATTCCAGTCGAATGTACACGAAAACCTTGGTATAATTCTAGATAAATTTCCTAAACTGAAAACGTATATTCACAATGATTTATAGTCTAGGTTTTCCCGCCCAACTTCGTAAACTGGGCAGCCGAATTAACGTTACGTTCATTCAATTTCGTGCGAAATTGAATCACTATAATTATGTAGATCAACATTCAAAAAGCTAATTGCGTCGTGCAATTTCATTTAGTAGCATGCGATTTCACACTCTAATCGTCACGGAGACGTGCAAAACGAGCATTCAATTTAGAAAAACGTGCAAATTGATAGGCAAAAATTGTACTGTGCATGTCTATGACTAAAGTAACCACACGAAGAATCAAAAGTGTTTTTAATTGATGCAACACTCATATCATTGCGAAGGGGAAGCCTTGCCGATCAAATATAACAACTAGCTCTTCTCTTCAAAATATGTTTGGGGCCCGCAGTAGTCAACTCTCAAAAATGTTAGTTTTGAGATCCAGATTTTCTGCCTTCAGCGGTCCTTTGTAGAGCGTCAATATTTGTGACGTCACATACGGGACACGGCTGGCTACCTGCATACTGCTACACGACACTGAGCTGTTCGTCCAGTGTGTGACGTCACTATTCAGAGATCGCTACGCTTGTGTGTTTGACTTGCGTTCAGGGGCGTTCGGGGGCTAAGGAGGGTCTTGAAAAATTGCATTTTACGTCTTTCCATGATATCTATATGATTTCTCAGCAAATTGTTCGTGTTTTTCAAGAGAAAATCTTTCCATCCATATGTAATTTGTTCTAATTATGAGTTGTTAGTGAATTTTCTTTGTGTAGCTCGTTCTAAAATTAAATTTAAAATAAAACATCAACAAGTACTTAAAATTGAAGTATGTGAATAATCATTGGAAAAATCGAAAAAATCAGACTACAACGAAAATTTTATATAATCTAGCGCTTTATTAACAAGAAATATTTTGAGCCCTGTGTGACCATTAATGTTTGGTTAACCTATCAAATAAAGGGCATGAAGGGGGTTACTACAGTGAAACCTGTACATAAAGACCGCTCAAGGGAGGTAGTCCTTATGTACAAAAAAAATAAATGAGTGCACATTTCAATGTGAAATGCTATTCAAGGGAAATGGCAAATGCGGCTTGTTATAGACAGGTGGTCTTTCTGTACAGGTGGTCGCTAAAACAGTTCTCACTTTTGTTATCATTGAACCTAGCATAACTTGCAATACATGTGAGATTTGGGTTGAATATAGGTTTCTTTCTGTGTTTTGTTCGTATTTACATTATTATCTTTGATCACTTTTAGTCTATCGATCGTACAATAATGTACTCGCCACCCCGAAAACCGAACTCTTTGTTCTCCTTTAACAGAATCTGATGATACAAGCGTCCATGTACGGTGAGACAATCAACAGCACTTGGGCAACGTTGGATAAAGCTTCTCTGTTACATTTTTCGTGGATTAAGTGTCTTTCAAACATTGGTTGAAATCACTTCTAACCTAAAACCCCAGCGAAGCAAGAGCTCTCTGAGCAGGACTGCCTT